TATACTGTATATATCGATGTTTCCTGAAATAAGAGTACCCCTAGTTCTCACCCATTTATAGACGGATTTTCCCTTATAAACTATAAACCATCCATTTTAGGGTACCCCCAATTTAAGAAACCCCTATATATATATATATTCTATAGATATAGATATCCACTTATAACTCCTTTCTACATCTCCAAGTATTCACCTGATTCATGATGACTCGCCGACTTTATGGCAAGTGCCTCTTGCAGCTCATGGCCTTCCACCCCTCACTGAAAACGGTGGTGAAAATGGTGGTTAAAGTGATATGAACAGGTCAAAGTTTAATGGTGCTTTATCCATTGATATCGAAGTTTAATGGTGGTTACACTTATCTGGTTGGTGGTTTGGAACATTTGGATGATTTTTCCATATATTGGGAATAATGATCCCAATTGACTTTCATATTTTTCAGAGGGGCAGGTCAACCACCAACCAGACTTCATTGTAGGTGCAAACGTCCATGCTCCCAAGGTTTGCTGCATATGTTCCCGCCAGCATTTTGCAGCTTGCCGCTAGCTCGAAGTTGGCGTGTCCATCGTCGCCATCACAAGGAGGTTCCAGCGGCAAGGGGTTGAAATGTGAGATTTTTCCAGGAGTATGATCTGCAAATATATAAACACTGGTTGGTGGTTTCAAACATGTTTTATTTTCCATTTCATATATGAGATGTCATCCTTCCCATTGACGAACTCATATTTTTCAGAGGGGTAGGTATACCACCAACCAGATATGATCTGCAAATTTTGCTGCAAATGTATATATATATATAAATATATTAATATATAAATATATTAATATATAAACAGTTCACCAGACATAGAAACCAGTGGAATATATTTATATCTGCTGAATGATCTGAAGAAATTGATCTCTGGTTTATTTCAATCCATTTACCAGGTATTTCAGTGATTTTAATGTGAGTCGTCACTTGCGCCGGCTGAAGGTATCGTCGGCATGGTATTCTGGTTGTTCTAGTTGATCCCCAAAATGGGACTGAATGCGTCACCTGCTGAATGCGTCCCATTTAGCTCGATGTTCCACTTTTTGACCCATTAGAAACGACGATTGTCCATAGCAAACTAGTGCACATGACCAGAAGGTAACCCTTCGTGCTTAAAATTATGAAGGTTGGATGGTTTAGCCAATGATCATTAACCATCCATATATCTGGGTAAATTTGATCACGACCGAGCCCTGCGACCGAGCCCTGGAAATCATGTTTTTTTTAGGGAAATCATCCCCAACTGGCCGCAAGATTCAGGTTTAGTGAAATATTATAATTTACCCGGTATAATGGTATACTGGTTCATAATGAGCAATTTTGATGGTATAACATATGGCAAGAATATTGGTGAATGGGTATAATTTATGACTATTATCATACTGCTTCACCGATGATCAATATTTGTTTCGCAACATGAATATTATTGGTGATACAGTGATACTGGGATCAAGAATGAGGATTAATTGGGATTAATAGTGGATTAATAGTGGATCAATACTGATTAATAATATTAATATCCCCAATTAATAGTAGATCAACATGAATATTGTCATGAATATTAATGATTGTCATAGTGGATGAATAGTGGATCAATACCTATGGTTAATCCCCTAACTATTAACCGTTATTAACCATGTTAACTATTAATCACCATCAATACTGGTTGATAACGCTTTGTGATGGTGATTCGTGGTTAATCCCCAGGTCTGGTTGACGAAAAAGCGGCACAGCTTCGACAATGGTCTCCAGGCAGGAGGTTTGATCGGACATTCATGGGGAAAATCCTCTGGTTGGTGGTTTGGAACAACAGTGATTAATAGGGATTAATAGGTGTTATACAATGGGAATATCATGACTTAAATAATATATATATATACTGGTTGGTGGTTTGGAACATGAATGGATTATGACTTTCCCATATTGATTGGGAATGTCTAATCATCCCAACTGACTTTCACTATCTTTCACTCCATCATTTTTCAGAGGGGTAGGGCTGAAACCACCAACCAGTCTACAGATGGAGGTTTATAGCTGGGAAAATCATCTATCAAGTATGGATCTTCAATAGAAACCGATGGTTTTCTGGTTGGTGGTTTCAAACATTTGGATTGTGACTTTCCATATCTTGGGAATGTCATCCCAACTGACTTTCACTCCATCATTTTTCAGAGGGGTAGGGTAGGTCAACCACCAACCAGCCAATGTTTTAACCAATGATTAACCATCATTAACCACAAGAAAACCACTATTAACCATCATTAACCACTATTAACCACTATTCGAAGGAGGTTTAGAAGTCAAACTTCCGACAACATGGACAGATGAAAAGCAGAGCAGGGCAGAGGCAGAGAGAAGAGAAAGATTAGAAGAGAGAAGATCAGAAGAGAAAGAGTCAGAAGAAAGAAGATGCAGATGCGCGAAAAGGTAGGAAAGTCGCGATTCACTGTGTTTTTCCAATGATTTGTGGCTCCGGAGGGTCGAAAAGTAGGCTCGCTAAAGCGGCGGGTGCGGAGCCAGCTGGCCAGATGAGAGATGAAAAATTGCACGCCGTTGTGGCGCGAAGCACATTTCGAAGTCAAAATGTACAAAACACTAGGGGTTCGGACCACTTTTGGAGGTTCAGATGTCGCTTCGCCGCTTCGCTTCACTACACTACACTACGTTACATTCCACCACACTCCACTATACTACACTACATTACACTACGCTACACTCCACAACACTACAACTACAACTACACAACTAGACTACACTCCACTACACTCCACTACATTAAATTTCACTACGCTACATTACACTACACTATGCTCCACTACACTACACTACATTAAATTACACTACACTCCACTACACTACATTACACTACACTACGCTCCACAACACTACAACTACAACTACACAACTACACTCGACTACACTCCACTACACTAAATTACACTACGCTACACTACATTACACTACACTACACTCCACTACACTACACTACACTACACGAAATTACACTACACTACATTACACTACACTACACTACATTCCACTACACTCCACTACACTACATTACACTACACTACAATACACTGAATGACACTGCACCACAGATAGACAGGTAGACAGATAGACAGATAGATAGATAGGTAGACAGCTAGACAGATAGACAGATGAAAGAGAGAGAGAGAGAGATAGATAGATAGATAGATAGTTAGATGGACAGATAGGTAGATAGGTAATTAGATGAAAGAGAGAAAGAGAGAGATAGATCGCTAGATAGATAGATAGATAGATACATAGAAGATAGATAGGTAGGTAGATAGTCAGAGAAAGAGAGAGACAGAGAGGAGACCCCAAGCACCTTTCGGTCCATCAGTGGATTCGCTTTGCCATCCCTGATTCACAACAACCAACCTCTCCTATAGGTTTCCTATTTTTGAAACTTCCGCCACCGCCTTGTGCGGTACTACTGGTAACCACTATTAACGAATGATTAACCACTATCATCCTATTTTTTAACCCGGATTTGGATCCTCGTGATGCCACCGATCAGGGTAGGGTTGGGTTTCACTTCTGCTCCGTGGATCTGCTGGTTTTCACGGAATCAAAATAGGCGACAGGCAACGGCAAGTCCATAGATGCTGTATTTTTGTAGCTTACCATGGAAATGCCCCATGGAAAATGGAGGTTACCCAGGTTTATAGCTGGGAAAATCAACTACCATATGGGTTTAATAGGTATATACCCCATGGTAAACTGTTACATAAGTATGGAAAGATCCACCATTTTCAATGGGTAAATCCACTATAAATGGCAATGGGCATGGACATGACACATTTGAGAATCCTGCAGCTTTTGGTCTTACATTTGAGAATCCTGCAGCTTTTTGTTCCCCACATTGACGTGTGGGGTTTTTGTTTTTCCCGAGAGCGTCTGAGCGCAGGGTTCTTCCAATAGTGGGGGTCTGTAAAACATCTTCTCATCTTCACATCCTCTCATCTTCACATCTTCTCATCTTCACATCTTCTCATCTTCACATCTTCTCATCTTCACATCCTCTCATCTTCACATCCTCTCATCTTCACATCTTCTCATCTTCACATCTTCACATCTTCACATCTTCTCATCTTCACATCTTCTCATCTTCACATCTTCTCATCCTCCCATCTTCTCATCCTCCCATCTTCTCCTCATCTTCACATCTTCTCACATCTTCTCACATCTTCTCACATCTTCTCACATCTTCTCACATCTTCTCACATCTTCTCATCTCCTCATCTTCTCATCTTCACATCTTCTCATCCTCACATCTTCTCATCTTCACATCTTCTCACATCTTCTCACATCTTCTCATCTTCACATCTTCTCACATCTTCTCACATCTTCTCACATCTTCTCACATCTTCTCACATCTTCTCACATCTTCTCACATCTTCTCATCTTCTCACATCTTCTCACATCTTCTCACACCTTCTCCTCTTGCCCTCTTGCCCTCTTGCCCTCTCCTTCTTTTTTATTTCTCTCTTGAAGGCGGGAGCAGGGGCAGTGCCAACGAGACGGCACGAAACGCAACCTTTTCGCACGAAATGAGGTTCGATCGTCAAAAACTGAGGTAAAATTGCGATTTCAACTTGTCCGGCGCAACCCTTTCGCACGAAATGAGGTTCGATCGTCAAAAACTGAGGTAAAATTGCGATTTCAACTTGTCCCGCGCAACCCTTTCGCACGAAATGAGGTTCGATCGCCAAAAACTGAGGTAAAATTGCGATTTCAACTTGTCCCGCGCGACCCTTTCGCACGTCCCTTTCGCACGAAATGAGGTTCGATCGCCAAAAACTGAGGTAAAATTGCGATTTCAAGTCGTCCGGCGCAACCCTTTCGCACGAAATGAGGTTCGATCGCCAAAAACTGAGGTAAAATTGCGATTTCGTGTTTCCGGTGAACCCTTTCGCACGAAATGAGGTTCGATCGGCAAAAACTGAGGTAAAATTGCGATTTCAACTTGTCCCGCGCGACCCTTTCGCACGTCCCTTTCGCACGAAATGAGGTTGGATCGCCAAAAACTGAAGTAAAATTGCGATGTGTGTAAACGCGTCTGTGTGTAAAAGCGTCTGTGTGTAAAAGCGTCTGTGTGTAATAGCGTCTGCGTGTACAAGCTTCTGTGTGTAAAAGCGTCTCTGTGTAAAAGTGTTTGTGTGTAAAACTGTTTGTGTGTAAACTTTTGTGTGTAAAAGCGTCTGTGTGTAATAGCGTCTGTGTGTAAAAGCTTCTGTGTGTAAAAGTGTTTGTGTGTAAAAGCGTCTGTGTGTAAAAGCGTCTGTGTGTAAAAGCGTCTGTGTGTAAAAGTGTCTGTGTGTAAAAGTGTCTGTGTGTAAAAGTCTCTGTGTGTAAAAGCGTCTGTGTGTAAAAGCGTCTGTGTGTAAAAGCTCTGTGTGTAAAAGCGTCTGTGTGTATAATAAAAGCGTCTGTGTGTAAAAGTGTTTGTGTTAAAAGCGTTTGTGTGTAAAAGCGTCTGTGTGTAAAAGCTTCTGTGTGTAAAAGCGTCTGTGTGTAAAAGTCTCTGTGTGTAAAAGTGTTTGTGTGTAAAAGGGTCTGTGTAAAAGCGTCTGTGTGTAAAACCCTCTTTGTGTAAAAGCGTCTGTGTGTAAAACCCTCTGTGTGTAAAAGCGTTTGTGTGTAAAAGTCTCTGTGTGGAAAAGCGTCTGTCTGTAAAAGCCTCTGTGTCTAAAAGCGTCTGTGTGTAAAAACGTCTGTGTGTAAAAGCGTCTGTGTGTAAAAACGTCTGTGTGTAAAAGTCTCTGTGTGTAAAAGTGTTTGTGTGTGTGTAAAAGCGTCTGTGTGTAAAAGCGTCTGTGTGCAAAAGCGTCTGTCTGTAAAAAGTTCTGTGCGTGAAAAACTTTTTGAAAGATACGATGCAAAAGGTACGATGCCATATAATATTGTCTTGATACTACTCTTCTCGTCTGCCTGTAATATAGTGTCGCCATACTAACAGCAGAAGAAGACTCTGCTCCTCTACGCTCTCGGGCCATCCGTCGTCTAGTATTAGTTCTGTATCCGCCTCCTCCTCCTCCTGCTCCTCCTCCTCCGCCTGCTCCTCACTCACTCACTCACTCACTCACTCACTCACTCACACTCACACTCACTCACTCACTCACTCTCACTCCCACATCCCACTCACAACTCACCCGCACACTCACACTCAACGTCACTCACCACTCACCACTCACTCACTCACTCATCACGCACTCAACCGGCACCCTCACTCAACTCACCTCGCACTCCCTCACCGTCACATCACCTCACACTCCCGTCACTCCACTCACTCACTCACACTCACTCACTCACACTCACGACACTCACTCGCTCGCCCCGCGGAATCACTCTCACTCACGACTCATCACTCACACTCTACTCACACTCCCTCGCCGTCGCGGTCGCCTCGATCAGTCACTCACTCACATCACGAACCCACACCCCACTCAACTCACCCTCACTCGAACGGGCCCCCTCCCTCCCACTCACTCACTCACTCACCTCTTTTGCGTGGCAGGCTTGGGCACCATGGTGCCTGTCCAGGGTCGGATGGTACCCTGGCGTCCCTTTGGGCTCACCTCTTTTGCGTGGCAGGCGTGGGACCATGTGCACTGCCAAGGGGTCGGATGTACGCCCTGGCGTCCCTTGGGCTCCGCCTCTTTTGCGTGGCAGGCGTGGGACAATGTGCATTGCCAAGGGGTCGGATGAACGCCCTGGCGTCCCTTGGGCTTCGCCTCTTTTGCGTGGCAGGCGTGGGACAATGTGCATTGCCAAGGGGTCGGATGTACGCCCTGGCGTCCCTTGGGCTCCGCCTCTTTTGCGTGGCAGGCGTGGGACAATGTGCATTTTGCGTGGCAGGTGTGGGACAATGTGCATTGCCAAGGGGTCGGATGTACACCCTGGCGTCCCTTGGGCTCCGCCTCTTTTGCGTGGCAGGCGTGGGACAATGTGCATGGCAGGCGTGGGACAATGTGCATTTTGCGTGGCAGGTGTGGGACAATGTGCATTGCCAAGGGGTCGGATGTACGCCCTGGCGTCCCTTGGGCTCCGCTTCTTTTGCGTGGCAGGCGTGGGACAATGTGCCTTGCCAAGGGGTCGGATGTACGCCCTGGCGTCCCTTGGGCTCCGCCTCTTTTGCGTGGCAGGCGTGGGACAATGTGCATTGCCAAGGGGTCGGATGTACGCCCTGGCGTTTGTTGGGCTCCGCCTCTTTTGCGTGGCAGGCGTGGAACCATGTGCACTGCCAAGGGGTCGGATGTACGCCCTGGCGTCCCTTGGGCTCCGCCTGTTTTGCGTGGCAGGCATGGGACAATGTGCATTGCCAAGGGGTCGGATGTACGCCTTGGCGTTTGTTGGGCTCCGCCTCTTTTGCGTGGCAGGCGTGGGACAATGTGCACTGCCAAGGGGTCGGATGTACGCCCTGGCGTCCCTTGGGCTCCGCCTCTTTTGCGTGACAGGCGTGGGACAATGTGGACTGCCAAGGGCCGGGTCGGATGTACGCCCTGGCGTCCCTTGGGCTCCGCCTCTTTTGCGTGACAGGCGTGGGACAAGGTGCATTTTGCGTGGCAGGTGTGGGACAATGTGCATTGCCAAGGGGTCGGATGTACGCCCTGGCGTCCCTTGGGCTCCGCCTCTTTTGCGTGGCGTGGGACAATGTGCAGTGCCAAGGGGTCGGATGTACGCCCTGGCGTCCCTTGGGCTCCGCCTCTTTTGCGTGGCAGGCGTGGGACAATGTGCACTGCCAAGGGGTCGGATGTACGCCCTGGCGTCCCTTGGGCTCCGCCTCTTTTGCGTGGCAGGCGTGGGACAATGTGCACTGCCAAGAGGTCGGATGTACGCCCTGGCGTCCCTTGGGCTCCGCCTCTTTTGCGTGGCAGGCGTGGGACAATGTGCATTTTGCGTGGCAGGTGTGGGACAATGTGCACTGCCAAGGGGTCGGATGTACGCCCTGGCGTCCCTTGGGCTCCGCCTCTTTTGCGTGGCAGGCGTGGGACAATGTGCACTGCCAAGAGGTCGGATGTACGCCCTGGCGTCCCTTGGGCTCCGCCTCTTTTGCGTGGCAGGTGTGGGACAATGTGCACTGCCAAGGGGTCGGATGCACGCCCTGGCGTCCCTTGGGCTCCGCCTCTTTTGCGTGGCAGGCGTGGGACAATCTGCACTGCCAAGGGGTCGGATGCACGCCCTGGCGTCCCTTGGGCTCCGCCTCTTTTGCGTGGCAGGTGTGGGACAATGTGCATTGCCAAGGGGTCGGATGTACGCCCTGGCGTCCCTTGGGCTCCGCCTCTTTTGCTTTCAACGGGCATGGAAGCCGGGGTCACCGTGAGGTCTGTACGTCACGTAAATCACTATTGAAGATGCTTTCTGATTCGGTGATGATGACAGAACTTTCTTTTCGGTAGGTTGCGCTCCGGGCATTTGCGATGGAAGAAAAAGAACAGGTTCATCTTCAGTCCTGTTTCATTATCGGTCTGCAGGTACTGACCAGAGATGCTCTCGCAGCTGGCTTAGCCGCTTGCAGTACATATGCAAATATGCTCCGACCTGCTTCAGCACTGAGGTCGATGCCTTCGTCCTTACCAAACGGTTCGGCTTCGGTCGAGCCGACACCACGTTGGCCGGTGGTGGGGACATTAATGGGAGGCCGTGAAAATCAACGACAACCTTCCTTCCCAACGACACATCGCGAATTTCCCAAAACACATAACACACAACACACAACAACACACAACCCACAAAACACAACGCACAACACACAATGCATAACCCACAACACACAACTCACTCACTCACTCACTCACTCACTCACTCACTCACTCACTCACCTTGAACATACATACACACACACAAACTCACCCACCATCACCGCTCCATCACTCTTATACTTCCTCTTCCCTTCTTGCTTTTCTATGCCCAGTCTAAATCTAGAGAAGTTGGTAACATGTGGGGTTATCCGGTCCTTTAATTGTCAAGCTCTGTTTGCCCTCCATCCTACCACCTTCCCCTCTGGTTGTGATGGCTGACGAAGTGATGGCTGAAGAAGTGCCAGTGGTGGAGATGAGGAACTGGGAGACCAACACTGTTGTTGGATATTGGCTCAACCCAGGGCCCATTGATTTGGATATGGGTTTTGATGGTTTGGTGTCTGACAATATTCCATACCATGACATAAAGGAGACAGCAGCAGATGGAACAGTGACTGTGGTGGATAACCAGATGGTCCCAGTGCACATGCACCCAGATGGCTATGCCTTCTTGAGGTTGCCAGGTTCCAACAAGAGGAAGAACAAGGTGCTTTTCCACAGGCAGCTCTGGCAGGATTTGCACCAGGCCAAACTCCAGGAAGGGGAGGAGATCCACCATGTTAATGGGGATCGAAAAGGTAACACCTCCACCAACCTGCCAACCTGCAAAAGGAGACAGGCATAGATCACCGAAGAGAGCATGCCAATAGGAGGCGACAGCCTGCCAGGTTTGGGGTCAGACAGCGAGGACCCAGGAGGAACCAAGCCCAAAGGCGAAGGGCAAGGGCATGAATGCAGGTTTGGGAGTTTGGCCTGGTGCTACGAGAGTTTTTTGTAGTTTATTCAAATTTGGCATTTGCAGTGATGAAGTGGTGTCTTACCGTATATTCATATACATGTTGTGCCAGCAAGAAAGGGCGAAATCTCATAAGGAAAAACCTCACGCAGCCATGGCAACCTTGGATGGATATGAGCTATGGTCAATACTCATGGTTAATAACCATTAATAGGGGCTAGTCATCCAATGGCTCATAGGGATTTATAATAACCATTATAAGGATCCTTATTATGGATGGGATGACCATCAACCATATAGTGAGTATTGACCATGGCTCATATCTTATTTTAATCTTGCTCAGCCATAGCCTCCACCAAGCCTGGGAAATCCCCGAAATCCCTAGATGGAGCACTTGGAAAGTGATCTGTTAATGGATTTGTTGGTTTCTATGTTTGACTACAGGGTATATTCGCCTAAAGGCCTAACCAGCTACAAAAATGGAGAGAAGGACGATTTTGGGGTAGAATGTTGAGGCATAGAATTTACCAGCGGTTACAACCAGCACAAAGAGCCACCTCAACCATATGGCAAACAGCGATCAAGGGAGTGTTACTCAGGCGCGCCTCAAAATGAGTTCTTTGTAAACGTGTACCCTCTGGTAAACTGACAGTTTGCTATTGAAAATGACTACAGAAATAGCTGATTATTGATTTACCCAGCTACAAACTGGTGATTTACCCATTAAAAATGGTGGTTTCAAACCATCATTAACCACTATCACCATTAACCAGTTCCATTTTTTCAGATGGGTTGGTTGAAACCACCAACCGGCATATAAATATGATGATTCTCCCATTGAATAATCCCATTGATTAACCAGTGATTAACCATCATTAACCATCATGGACCACAAGAAAACCACTGATAAAATACCTAGATCTTAGCATAATAGTGGTTAATGATGGTTAATAGTGGTTAATGATGGTTAATAGTGGTTGATGATGGTTAATAGTGGTTAATAGTGGTTCATGATGGTTAATGATGGTTAATCACTGGTTAATCAATGGATGAAATGCAATTATTTGATCACGGGTGAAACCCCAGGCCCCTGGGCCCTTGAATCCCTTGAATCATGAAATCTTATCTCGAGCGCCACGATTCCACGATGTCCAGTTTTCCAATGGTGAAACCAATGGTGAAACCCCCCCATTTTTGGTGCATTAAAAAACCAATGCTGAAAACCACCCATGACTGGGAATGATGTAATTATTGTAGATGTGGGTAAATTATAACGACCTCACTGTTCTCCCGAACCCTGGAATCATAGTTAATAAGGGAAATCATCCCCAAACGGCCGCAAGATTCAGGTTAGTGAAATATTTTAATTTACCCAGATAGATGTTTATATTCATGTTTTTCTACCACCTATAAATGTGAAACCTCCATATTTTTAATGGTGACATAAACCAAGCTGTATCATTGGTGCCATCTGCGATCGCAGGTCGACACGAGGCGTGTGGCTTGTGGCTGTCCTCTATGCTGCTTCCTACAGGCAGGAAGGAAACCCCCAAATGGTTGGTTTATTGCAAAACCCCATCTATAAATGGATGAGAACTAGGGGTACCCCCATGACTTTGGAAACCTCTTTATGTTTATGGCATGAGTCTATCCAAAACTGTAGAATTTCGTGGCCAGTGATCTGTGGAAAATGATATCCCCAATACATCCTGTGGTTATCTTGCTTAAAACATCATGGTTGAGTCAATACAGGATATGTCATGACCGGCTGTTTTTTTTCACCCAAGTATTGGATATGACCGGCTGTGCATTTGTGCCGACGATGCCCCCACTCTTGAGCCCGACCCGACGCAGGTTTCCACAGTCCGTGGGACACGTGGGCACCATGGCATAGTATGTCCGTCTTGGCATTGAAGGAGTGGTTCTCTTCTGCGCGGTATTTGTGGTGAGATCCACGTGAGCGGCTTGACATCGTTGCAGGCAATGGATCAATGCCTTGGTCCTTGTGCTCCTCGCCCTAGCGGATGCACTGGCGCATGACAGGAGCTTGTCATCACAATCTACTTGAAGCTTCCTGGTGGTGCTGCTAGTGGCAAACAACCAGTCGAGGAGCACATTTTGAAGCCTGTGCAGAAAGTGTCAGATGCTGACGCCGAGCTGTTCCGCAAAGCGTACGAAGTCGGCTCCTTGATTGGCAAGTCTGCTTCTGTGTCAAAACACGTCATATCTCATAGTGGTGACCCCCCGAGAAATAGCTGGTTTATCAGCCCTTACCGGTGGCTGTTTTTTGTTGATAATCTTTAAAAAAAACCAAGCATTCTTCGGGGGTCACAGACCTGGGGGTGGTTGATATATCATGTCCAATGTATATCCACTATATATTCGCGATACATGCCCAGTTGGTTTTTTTTATCCCACTACTTTGAGGATCATTGCACTTAGCAACTGGTTAAGGACAATTAGCCCATTCATATATATCTGGGTAAATTATAACGACCTCACTGTTCTCCCGAACCCTGGAATCATGGTTAACAAGGGAAATCTTCCCCAAACGGCCGCAAGATTCAGGTTAGTAATTTACCCATATATATATATATATGTATATATATGTATTCATATATATATATACATACATATATATATACAGATATACATATAATATATATATATACACATAGGATGACCCCAAGACTCACGGACTTAACGACGACCAGGGTTATTGGATGACCACTTACTCAGTGGGATGACCCTCCAAGGATAGAAATTTGGATGTGTTGTTCATATGATGGTATAATAATGAGCCATTGTGTAATGGGATAACTGGATAACCCATTTATGGTATACATTTGGATAATGATGTAATAATGGATATATGGGATGTAATTCTGGTGATTTTCAGTGTTCAAGATGGGATCCACGGTAATTTGAACTGGCTCCATTCGAATCCCATTTTTTAACAGGACGGCCCTTTTGATGGGGGAGTGATGTTTGCTCTAAAAATGGTCAAACATACTGGTATTTACAGTGTTTTGTGGCCAAAGTATGCTTAAAACCGTTATTTTAGAGCAAAAAATAGAGTTCACCTCCAAAGGCTATCATATGCTGTATAAATCACTCGCATCTGCAGGCTCTTGTGACAGGATTCAATTTTTCCTGTGAGACTTGCAAGGAACAAACAATCAGCACATAACAGAAAACATCTGCTGCACAGCATGCCATAAGAATGGGTAGCTGCGCATCTTGGAACAGAATATACAGTAGCAATAGGTGACTAGTGTGATGGAAGTGATGGAGAAATTCTATTGCTAGAAGCAATTGATATGATATAGCTGTTTCATCATGAACTTGTTAGACTGATAAAAATGTCAACATATATTGTATATAGAAGCATTTGCGCTACAGAAGAAGTATGGTGGGAAGGGCATACATTATGTGTATATCCTACCCATTCTTATGGCTCTCTTGTTTAATCCCATATAAATACTGGTTGGTGGTTTGGAACATGAATTTTACGACTTTCCATATATTGGGAATGTCATCATCCCAACTGACGAACTCAGATTTTTCAGAGGGGTAGGTATACCACCAACCAGTAAAAATTTGGATGTATTACTGAGCAGTGTTTTTTCAAGCCCTGTTCTTTGATTAATATGGGCTTATACTATCCAATATATTTGGGACACAATCCATTATGAGAATCCCTGTGAAAACCAACTAGTATCAAGGGACAGCAGAGGGTGTTTTTTTCCACTGCTCAACTGTGTTTACAGCCGATAATAATTTTGATCGTTGCTACTTCATGTTTTAGATGTATATAATATAAATTGACCGTCCATTTATCGCGGACGCCAAGAACATCATGACGGTATAATAATGACATGTGCCAACTGTCAATTACTAAAAGATATATAAATACACCCAATATACCATCGATAGCATAGTAATGCGATATATCTATCCCTTTGTAACAAACCTAATATGTGCATGAACATCACATTTTCGATATGGGGAGTGGATAACCCTGGTTAGAAACCACCATAAGTTCTGGTCTAATCTCTATGACTATGCTAAAATATATCCAGGTAGTTCACTGGAACTGCACTTCCAAGTAGATCCACCTGTTTTACATCTTAACCCCCCAGTTTTGATATTATAGGTAGAACACGACTAGTATACCTAACACACCATCGATAACATAATAATTAAAATTAAAAGGATACATCCTCTAGTAATAAACCAAAAATATTTTCACAAACAGCGCCAAAAAAAAACACTAATGCTGGTAAAGCAATAGGATCCACCATCCCCAATTTTCTATAGCTTGGAATTGAAGCATGAAAATCTGGCTCGGCACCTTGCTGCCTTCAGGTTGGCCGATCCCTCTGCGTCACTCAACTGCGGCTGGTTGCACCGAAAATCACCCGAGTTTTTCGCAGATTTTTTGTGGGATCTTTTTCTGGGATTTTCATGGATGTGATTGGAATGTTTATCTGGTTGGTGGTGACTGGAACATGAAATTTTTGACTTTCCATTCAGTTGGGAATGGAAAATCATCCCAACTGACTTTCACTCAGATTTTTCAGAGGGGTAGGTGGCTCAACCACCAACCAGTTATGGGAGTCTAGTGGATGTTAATGAATTTTACCCTCTGGAAAATTGACATAGACCCTGAGAATCACCAATTTTTAATGGAAACTAGTCTTCCAACCCCGATGACTGCCAGGGTCTATGTTATATACTTGAGGGTAATGGGTATTGATGGATTTGAATGGGATTTGAATGGGATCTGGATGGGATCTGAATGGACACATATCCTATGGGATTTCTAGATTTTTTTGGCTAATCTAATGATATTTTATGAGATTTGAATGTATATAAATTAATGTAAAAATCATAAAAAGATGGATTTTCTGAGAATCATAAAAAGGGATTTAGATGGGACCGCAATGAGATAACGTCAATGGGATCGCAATGAGATGGGACAAATCGGAGAAATCTAACCGTGAAACTCAGAATCCTGGCGTTGGTTATGTTGGATAAAGATGATCCGGTTGAGGTCAGTTCTGTTGAGTAATTCTGGTATTAACCAACTTTTTTATTTCAGTGGTTAATTATATGGTATAATTTAATTATATTTAATTATGATATCAGTTTATAACTAGCATTAAATTTAATCATAATTACGAACTATAACTAACTAATTATATAAATTTGCCAAGTCTGCCATTGTTCCCTGCAACAGCCACCTGTTCTTTGCTTCATCTGGATCACTGGGTTGCTGCACTGGCTATGGTTCAATTCAAGCCCATAAGTTGGGACTCAAAAAAGCCATGGTGAACAATATCCACATCTTTGCAAACATTTTCACGGGACCTGCACCTCCAAGTGGCGCATGTCCATCGTTTTTATTTGTCGGTGAATTGGAGACCATGATATCAGGATGCTTTGCAAATCCGAAAAAATCAAAGCTGGCGGGAAAATCCACCCTTTACCAACCATCTGGTCCTGACATTCACAGTTTGCGAACTGGAAAGATCCACCATGCTATTAAGAACGGTAGTCACCATCTATTTCGATTAGGGCCATCTATTTTCCATGGCTATGTTAGTCATAACCAGGTTGGGGCGTTCGATGATTTTTCCAGCTATGGATGGCACCGGGGGATCGATTGCTTAAGCCAGCAACTCAAGGGAACGCCCCAAAGATTTTAACACGCTTTACACGTTCCGGTGATGGTGGTGATGATGATGATAAGATGTTCCTCCTCAACATCATCATTGTCCTCCTTCTCTACATCATGATTTATTACATATCATTACTACTAATATTATGATGCGTGTTTATCGTTGCTATTATATTATATTATATTATGTTATATTATATTATATTATATGTATATATATATAATGTTGCTATCATTATTGACAGGGATGATGATTCAAAAATTCTGACGTGTTGTTGTGATCAACCCTCAATGACCATATCATCATATCATGCTTAAGACGACTATTGGCACTATCATTGATATCCTCATTGAGAGTAGTAATAGTTATTATAACTGACCAATAAAAAAAAAAAACTATTGGCTTAGAGTTTAATAGTGATATCCTAACTGACCATAATATATCCTCATCCTGCTTAGAGCTATATTATAGACACTATCTTGACCATGATGTTCGCAGCAGATCTTAGCCAATGGAGAGGTCGTTGAGTTGTGAAGGCTATGGCGCTACATCAGAAAATTTGAGTTGTTGTCCAGTTGAGATTTAAAAACCAGAAAATCAGGGACATGATTGTGATATTTTACGGAGATATGATGTATGGGAAGACGAATGTTCAAGTAGAATGTGATGGTGAGATGACAGTGTCAATCAAGAAATTCTCTTGACTGTCATAAATCAGATAAGGTGTTCATTAACCAATGATTAACCACCATTAACCACTATTAACCACCATTAATTCAATTCCGACCGGCCAAAAAAACAAAACTTGCCCGGTGGTATCTCATAGTTTCGCCCAAGGTCCATGTTCTGTTGATGCTGGGATGATCTCCAGAGCTATAGCTGGTTGGTGGTGTGTATATAATAATAATACCCTCTGGTTATTTAACATAGCCATGGAAAATCCCTTATAAATGGAGGTTTTAATGGGAAAATCAACAATTTTCCATGGCTATGTTAAATAACCAGAGGGTAATACTAATAATAATAATTATTATTATTGATTATATTTTTTTGGTAGAAGTAGCTTGGAGATAGCTATTATTCCATTTTTTTGTTTTCCCATATTCATTGGAAATGTCTAATCATCCCAACTGACGAGCTCACTCAATCATTTTGCACAGGGATAGGTATACCTTCAAACCACCAAGCAGCTCCATGGTTCTTTTGGGATGATGCTTGGCCACTGGGATGCTGAAAGCCTACGTTCGTTGCGGGCAAAAAAAAAGTGTTTTGTCAATGCCGAAGTGATGATTGATTCAGCCATGGGCTGTGTTATCGCAAACCAAACAGAGAAAACACAACAAATTGCAAGGTTTGTAGACCCCACAAATGTCAGAATTAAAAAGGTATCTGGTTGGTGGTTTGGAACATTTTTCCAATATATTGGGAATGTCATCATCCCAACTGACTTTCACTCCATCATTTTTCAGAGGGGTTGGTGGCTCAACCACCAACCAGCCCACGTTTTAACCAATGATTAACCATCATTAACCACTAGAAAACCACTATTAACCATTACTAATCACTATTTTCCTATGGTTTTCCTATGGTTTTCCCATTAAAACCTCCATTTTCCTATGGTTTTCCTATTTGTTTTGGGGGTTACAGCACTGGTGATTTACTGCACAACGAAATGCGCTCCCAGTTTCATCCCATTTTGAGCTGGCAGATCCCCATTGAAAATTGCGTTGGACTCAGCCAAAAGCATAGTTTTCCCATAGGAAAATGGAGGTTTTAATGGGAAAACCATAGGAAAACCATGGGAAAATAAATGTTTACCATTTGGTAAACACAGAAAAAACGATTGAAAATGGCCCAGTCGAAATAGTTGATTTCCCTGTTAAAAAATGTGGATCTTTCCATAGTTATGTTAGTTTACCAGAGGGTAATGGCTAAAGCGTTATTATCTGCTTGGTGGTTTGGAACCATGGAATTTGATGTTCCCCAATAGTTGGGATGATGACCCAATCTGACTTTCACTCCATCATTTTTCCGGTGGGTAGGTACACCAATTAGTTATCCCCAAGGTACACCAATTAGTTATCCCCAAGGTACACCAATTAGTTATCCCCAAGGTACACCAATTAGTTATCCCCAAGGTACACCAATTAGTTATCCCCAAGGTACACCAATTAGTTATCCCCAAGGTACCCCAATTAGTTATCCCCAAGATCACCATCCACCTTGGCTGAGGTTTTCCTTGCTGGCCAAACAGAGGACCGCCAAACATCCCAGTGAGGCTCCAGCCACGTGACGGGGCAACGGCATGTCAGAAAGTCCAAATGGGATTACAATATTACAATAGATATATTACAAATATTACATCCACAATATGGGATATATTGGATATATGGGATGTCAATAGATATGTCTATGTCGGATTATAGACCGACATTCAAACAGCCAGTGATGGGTTCATGATGAGCCATGACAGCCATGATATCAAAATGGAATTCGGCATTTGTACTGGTGGTATACTGGGACATGGTTTGGGAAATTCTGGTGATTTTCAGTGTTCAAGATGGGATCCACGATAATTTGAACTGGATACCATCCCGTTTATCCCATCCGGAATCGACCAGATTTTTAAACCCAGTCAAAAATCCCGTGAAAAATCATGCTAAAGAGCCACTTTAAGATAGTTTGAGCATGTTGGCCCTATAAATAATAATGTCAACCCTGGATTCATAAACCCCGTTTACGGCTGTTGAATTGGGAGGCTGCTATAAAAATTCGTATCAGATGAAATGACGAAGGAGTACCACCCTAATTTTCATAAACCATGGTTTAGCAACATCCATAACTGTTACATAACTATGGAAAATCACCATTTTTTTTTTTGCTAAATCACCATTTTTGATAGCTAAATCACCATTTTTGATAGCTAAATCACCATTTTTGATAGCTAAATCACCATTTTTTTTTGCTAAATCACCATGGTTTATCCAGGATCTCCATGAAAAAAATCCGCCCTCTTTGCAGAGTCGAGGCAGACATTGCTGCCCTGGAATCTTCCAACCCCGCCAGCCGCGTCCGCCGACCTTGTTATGTGTTGCGGTTCTGCCGGCTTCAAATGGAAAGGGTGAGATTTTGGCAATTTCGAATGGGATTTCATAGGATGTTCACAGAATTTCATTGGGACTTTGGTGAAAATATGCTGTTTATATAGGTTGTTTGCGGTGTTTGGTATGGTTGGATAGGGATTTTACCATGAATAATGAGGAAAAGTTGTCAAAGTAGAAGTAGTTGGTAAAACTTGCCGGGATATATTGACCAACCAGAGATTGCCAATTATCCATTCTTATCCCATGATTATCCGATATTATTATTCCTATTAAACCATATAGAACCATATTAAATCATATATAAATGTGTTACCCAGCTATGAAACCATTGTTACCCGATGCTACATCCCTTCCAAGACATTCCAGCTATATCATTATTACGAGAGACTCTGGGTACATGTTCCACTATGCCACTATTAAGAACGTAATAAACATTAAACCACATAATTCAACCATATAAAAATCCATCAATATCACATAAAAACCACATTAGTCTCATTTAATCTCCATTAATTCATATTGATATCCCATTAATATGGTTATTCTATATCCCATTTATCCCATTTTAACCCCATATACCCTCTGGTAAACAAACATAACTATTGAAAATGGTGATTTATAGTGGATTTACCCAGCTACAAAATGGTGGATCTTTCCATAATTAGTTATGTAACAGTTTACCAGAGGGTAAATATGATGATTATCCCATTTAATATCCCATATAAATACTGGTTGGTGGTTTGGAACATTTGGATTATTTTTCCATATATAGGGAATGTCATCATCCCAACTGACGAACTCATATTTTTCAGAGGGGTAGGTAGAAACCACTAACCAGCCATAATTAACCAATGATCAACCATCATAAACCATTATTAAGCATTATTAACCATTATTAACCACTATCAGCTTATTATCAACCAGTTCCATGTTTTCAGATGGGTTGGTTGAAACCACCAACCAGCCATGATTAACATTAGATTAGTCTCATTGAATCTCCAATATTAATATCTCATTGATATGGTTAATTTATATCCCATTTATCCCATGTTCATCCCATATAAATATGATGATATTCTCCCATTGAATAATTTACCATGAATTCTTGTTGGAACCAACGCCGAGGTTTTCTCCATGCGGCAACTCACAGGAACCTGGCTCCTTTCGAGCCCCAAGGCGAGGTTTTCCGCAAGGGGTGCACGGTGCGAAAAAAAAAGTGGTTTTGGATCAATGTTTAATTAATGTGTGTTGGATTATTTTATCTGGTTTTTATGGTTGTTTAATGGTTCTTTATATGATGGTGTTTAAGGAGTGTTGATTGTTTTTTGTTTTAATGTTGTTTCCATGTTTTTCTGTGTTATTCTTTATGTTTGTTGAATGTTTTATGGATTCATGGATTAGTTCACTTGCCAGCTATTTGGATACGATCAAACGACCTCACCTCGTCGTCATGGAGTCCATAGAAATAGTTGATTTAGCGTTTTTAACGGTGATTTTCGAGTTCGCAAACAGCAGTTTACCAGAATGGTTGGTGAAGTTGGTGAAGTTGGTGAATGAGTTGATCACGCTTTGGGTTCAGAAACTCTGTGTCCTCTGGCATTGTGACACCACCTCGGGGTCACAAAAAAAGTCACATCGACTGGAATCAACGCTGGTCGCCTGGTGAAACGGGATGAGAATTTGAAGAAGTCCTGGGTCAGTGGGATATAGCATAGGATCTGGGTAAATTATAACGACCTCACTGCGACCGAGCCCTGGGAATAATGGTTAGTAAAGGAAATCATCCCCAAATGGCCAGATTCAGGTGAACGTGAAATATGATTTTAAAAAAACATATCCATGTCAAGCCATTTCAATCCCGCTTAAACAAAGCAGTGGTTCAAGCCCCTGGTAACATGAAAAAATCGTGAAAACCGCCGGGATTCTTGTGGATCTTCATTCCCATTGTCCCATGAAGATCCATGAAATTTGTCGTCACAAGAAAAAATACCAGTGATATCAGTCTGGATAAATTTGAGCACGTTTCTCAACCCTACGACGTTACAAAAATTGTGATGGTGAATGAATTGGAATTGTCCCATCATTTATCCGTCGTGATGTCGGTGTTTAGCTGTGAAAAATTGCGCAACCAGACCATCCAGACCCAGGTTGTGGGTTGGAACGTGATGGGTTTTTTGATGCAAAACGATTGGATACATAAATTATAACCTCACTGCGGCCGAGCCCTGGGAATAATGGTTAGTAAAGGAAATCATCCCCAAATGGCCAGATTCAGGTGAACGTGGAATATGATGATTTACCCAGAAATTGATGGATGGATAATTTCATCTGAGGGGAACTTGGGAACTTGATCATTTGCCCCTGAAATTCTGCTTCTGATTTTACGGGGAACCAGCAGCAAATCACATAAATCAGCAGCTTTTGATGACAAGCCAGTTTATCCGCAGGCATTCATCTAACAACATCACCCAACTACAAAATTATCCAATAGAAAACCCAAAATTACACCATGTCTATTTATATCATCACCATTTATGGATGGACATAATCCACATAATCCACTCACTGCTCACCATTTTCGCAGCTCTCGACATCTCTTTTTCGAAACGCCAGGAGAATGCGCCCAAAGGGTCACTCAGCGAGAGTTGTGGAGTTGTGGTGGGTACCATGGTAATAGCCCCAGAATAAGTTCAGATACAACTGCTATAATAGCATTGGAAAATGAATAGTAAATGAACTTATAAATTATAAATTAGTATCATAATTATAACTATTAAGAACTTTAATTATAACATAGTTTGGAAAATGAATAGTATCATAATTATAAATTGAAGATCCATACCATTTATAATATCCATTTATTTCCACTGTCCATTAGTCTATTATATCTCTGGCTATGCCACTTGAAACTGGAACTGACCCCCCAAATACTCGCCAATAATTTGAAAAAATCCAAAGGATGTACAGTTTGCCAATGGTGGGTCCGGATATGTCACGATGTGTTGCAAGAAAGGTTGACAAATTGGCAAATGTCTATACTTACTGGTTGTGGTTTCAAACATGTTTTATTTTCCATCATATATGGGATGTCATCCTTCCCATTGACGAACTCATATTTTTCAAGATGGTTAAAACCACCAACCAGCTTAGATTTGGGAAGCATCATGTTCTTCCTGTGACTTTGCAAGGAACTTAATTATATAATATATGTGGAATTTGGATGGGAAAATCCTCATCCTGCCCGTTGCGGTTCAACAAAGATATCCGATGATCCTCTTCTTTTGGGGCGAGCGGGTACGTTCTGGTAGTCAAACATAGCAATGGAAATCCCCTACAAATGCCACGCTTCAATGGGAAAATCATCTATAAATGGTGAATTTGCCATTGCCATGTTTGATTGCCAGGGGGTACCCTCTGGTAAACTAACATAACTATGGAAAATCACCATTTTGTAGCTGGGAAAATCCACTATAACTGGCCATTTTCAATAGCTATGTTAAATTACCAGGGGGTAGCTCCATCATGTTTTGTCGTGTTTAACACGGTTGCTGTTGCTGTGCATGGATGGTTTCCAGCGCTGCTTCACCTTTGACAGCTGGAAACGATGGAGCTACCCTCTGGCAAGCATGGCGTGCTGGAAAAGCCCTCAATGATGAAGGTTTCCTAAAATAGGTACCCTCAAAAATCATCCCCTTTTAATGGGATTGTCCATTATAAACCATAATTTTTTAAGGGTACCCCCATAATAAACGGAAACCACCAGATGATTTTGAAAGGATTCCCCAGCGCCTTGATACTGGAAAAAGATCAAAACAGTCACCAAAGAAGTGTGAAGAGTAGAGTTATACATAGTTGTACTAGCTGCTGCTTTTGGGTATTTCTTCTTTACCACCCCTCAAGTCAGATGTTCAAGAGAATTTAAGCTGGGTTGCCATAGTCAACCAGCTGAGGTTCACCTGTGAAGACCGTCCAATAATGGATGGGTCGCTGGGGGTTGATGGGATGAAAAAATTGATAGCCAGTGGATCAGCATCCCATCCATTGAATCCATTCCCTACGTAAAACGCACCAGTAAGTAGAGTAGGATTGTTAAAAAAACAATCATTAACCACTATTAACCACTATTAACCATCATTAACCACTATTAACCACTATTAACCATAATTAACCACCATGTTCCTATGGTTTTCCTATGAAAAAAAACCTATCATCACTAGGCCCGGCCACGCTGACGCTAAACGGCCACGCACCGAGGTTGATGTCTGGCGACATTCCACGCATGCTCTTGAACCTTTATGCCGGTGACATTGGAAGGACCGTATTGTTTTTTCGTCGGAGGAAGTTGCCACCAAGTTGGCAAAAAAAAAGGCGAAAAACGGTGCTTGGAAAGGGGCCGGTTTACATCGGTTTGCCATTTCAAGTGATTTGTTGATGTTGTTGGATGGTGAGATTGTGATTGACAACTATACCTATTCATATACCATGGTGATTTGGTGTATTATTGCCAACAATAACTACATGGCATTGTTTTGTGGTTGGGATGTTCTCGGTTTATTTTTCCGCAGTCAGGTGCACGACACTCCAATGGTCACCATTGGATATCCCCATGATATTTCCAGTACATCATAGAATATTTGCTATTATACCTAAATCCCTATCATAGATGTAAATATATATATATATGTATGTAATGTAATGGAATGGAATGGAATGGAATGGAAAGTAATGTAGGTAGGTAGGTACGTACGTACATACATATATATATATACATACATGTATATATATATATATGTGTGTGTGAGTGTGTGTGCCCATTGATACCCCATGAAAAATAGCCCTATAATAACCCCATGTTATTTGCTTACACCCCCATCTTTCATATACCCAACAGTGAAATTTGGAGTTATGTAAGCCCCAACTTTGCGATTCCGAACTGGGAAAAATCTTCACCACCTTTGAAATCCCATGAAAAAACCAATAAAACTTAGTAATATTCATAGAAATCCATTAAAATCCATCCAAATAAAATTAAAATTCCACGAAAATCCATGAAAAATCCCATCAAATGTTCATGAAAATCTGAAAATCCCAGAGTTCGTCCCATCTTCCAGCCTTTTTCCCCAGGATGTTGAGCATGGAACTGGTCACGGATCCTAAGCTCTTGATTGCTCCAGACGGACGCACAGAGACCCAGACGCGCCTCAGGCGCGGGCGGTCAATCCATTGACCCTTGGCGGCCCTGACACTGATGGATTACTCTCTGGTAATTTGTTACAGTTTGCTATTGAAAATGGCCATAGAAATAGTTGATTTTCCCATTAAAAATGGTGATTTCACTATTAATCCACTATTAATCCCAATGACTCTCTGGTAAATTATCATAGACCCTGAAAATCACAAATTTTTAGAGGAAACTAATCTTCCAACCCCGATGACTGCCAGGGTCTATGTTAGTTTACCAGAGGGTATACGAATCATATGATATAATCATAAGAGTTAGAAGTTAAGATAAAGAAGAGTTAAAAGCTTTTCAAGAAATAGGAATTAAAATCATAGCCTTGACAGGCCTAAAGAAAACCTGTTAGAGACACATCCTAAATTATATCCCATAGTATTCAATAAATGTATATCAAAATATATCAATTCAATAAATGTATATCAAAATATATCAAATATATCATATATCCCGTAGTATTTAATATATATATATATCCTATGTATTTGGTTATATTAATGGTTATATCCCCTTCTATCATCAAAGTCTCCACATGACCGTCAATCTCTCACGATCATCCCATTAATATTGTGTCTATGAACTTGGTGGTGAAGGTCACCTTCGAAATCCCTTTCAAACCATATAAAACAACATAAAACCAACCAAAATTAATCATCTTATGTCATAAAAATCCAACGAACATCGCCATTCTTGGTGATTACCAATCAGTTTGGCAATGTCAATAAAGAATTAAGATGATTACCAGACATATAATCTTATAATCATCCAATGACTTTACCAAGATTACCAAGACAATCAGTTAAATCACCCCTCAAAACCCATCTCAAAACCATAAAACCAGTGAATCTCCCACAGATTCCGCTGGTTTTCTCGTCAGGTGGGGTCAACAGGAAGACGACATCAGCCTCCAGGGCAGCTTGGAACTCATCGCGCCCAACATCTTGCGCGAGGCGGGAGACACCAGCAGTTGGATTGCGACTATAAACCAATATTTTTCATTGGTAAAGCAATGGTAAATCCAATCCAACTGGGATATTTAAGGGATATTAAGGGATATTTCATGGTTTAAATAGTGGTTAATGGTGGTTAATAGTGGCTAATGGTGGTTGATAATAGTGGTTAATGGTGGTTAATAGTGGTTAATAGTGGTTAATGGTGGTTAATAGTGGTTGATACTGATTTATATCATTTTTTTTTATTGGTAAATCAATGAATCAACTATAAACCATTAACCAATGGGATATTAAGGGATATTTAAGGGGCTGACGCCCAACAGCGGGCCAGCAGGCCCGAAAGGTGCAGGATTGTGGTTGTTGGTGCTGTTGGTGTCGACGTCGTCGTCGTCGTCGTCGTCGTTGTTGTTGTTGTTGTTACTGTTGCTGTTGCTGTTGTCGTTGTTGCTGTTGTTGTCGTTATCGTTGTCGTTGTCGTTGTCGATGTCGTTGTTGCAGTGGGGCACGTTACACAGCTGATCACTGCACCCAGATGATGAACAAGCACTCCAAGTAGCCACTGCCGACGAATTCGTGCTGCAGCACCTGCCACTCGCCCTGTTCGTGAAAATTCCGGACGCTACATGGCAGCAGCACGCATCGCTGCCGCCCGGCGTGGCCTGCATACGACCAATCCAGCAGCACTGGACATTAGGACACAGGGACTTGCAACGGTGGCACGCAAGGGCTTCCCCATCGCATGTGACCTCGCCGGGACAGCTCACTCCTTCATGGGCGCGACGCTGCCAGCATGCACCCTCGATCTAGGCAGCTGGAACGACACCCTTTTGGGGCTGGGAGAAGCCGATTTTCGTCGACGAAAGGCAGCCATGAAGGCGCTGGCATCCAGCAAGCAAATTTTCGTCGCGCGTTCGCAGAACCGAAGACTTCTGGTTGTGGTTGTGGTTGTTGTTGTTGTTGTTGTTGTTGTTGTTGTTGTTGTTGTTGTGGTAGTTGTTGGTGTTGTCGTTTTTTGTTTTGTTGCCGTTGTTGTTGTTGTTGTTGTTGTTGGTGGTGGTGGTGGTGGTGTTGGTGGTGGTGGTGGTGGTGTTGTTGGTGTTGGTGTTGGTGTTGGTGTTGGTTGGTGTTGGTGTTGTTGTTTGTTGTGGTTGTTGTTGTTGTCGTTGTTCTTGTCGTCGTTCTTGTTCTTGCTTGTGGAGATTGTGGTTCTGGTTCTTGTTGTTTCTGTTGTTGTTGTTTTTGTTGTTGTTGTTGCTGTTGTTGTTGTTGTTGGTTGTGGTTGGTTGTGGTTGTGGTTGTTGTTGTTGTTGTTGTTGCTGTTGCTGTTGCTGTTGCTGTTGCTGTTGTTGTTGTTGGTGGTGTTGGTGTTGGTGTTGGTGTTGTTGGTGTTGGTGTTGGTGTTGTTGTTTGTTGTGGTTGTTGTTGTTGTCGTTGTTCTTGTCGTCGTTCTTGTTCTTGCTTGTGGAGATTGTGGTTCTGGTTCTTGTTGTTTCTGTTGTTGTTGTTGCTGTTGGTGTTGTTGTTGTTGTTGGTGGTGGTGGTGGTGGTGGTGTTGGTGTTGGTGTTGGTGTTGTTATTGCTGTTGCTGTTGCTGTTGCTGTTGTTGTTGCTGTTGTTGTTGTTGCTGTTGTTGTTGTTGATATTGATGAATTGTAAATGGTGGTTAGTTGTGGTTAAGTGTGGTTAATGGTGGCAAATAGTGGTTAATAGTGGTTAATAGTGGTTAATGGTGGTTAATAATGGTTGATACTGATTTATATCATTATTTTAAATTGGTAAATCAATGAATCAACTCTAAACCATTCACCAATGGGATAACCAATGGGATATTAACGGATTAATTATAGTGGTTAATGGTGGATAATGGTGGTTAATGATGGTTAATGAGATTTCTGGTTGGTGGTTCGGAACATGAATGGATTTTGACTTTCCATATATTGGGAATAATACTCCCAACTGACTAATCTCTTTCAGAGGGTTTGAAACCACCAACCAGAAATGGTTAACTATGGAAAATCACCATTTGTTACAGGTAAATAAATCAACTATATAGTTCTATGGCCATTTCCAATAGCTACGTATACAACTAACAGTTGGAAAAATTGATGGGATTTAGTGGGATTAATAATGGAAGTATGGAAGTATACTGTACATATTCTCAGTATAGTTGTAACCCCCATTAAAATCTTCCATAGTTTTGCATAATTTGGTCATTTAACGGTGATTTTCCATAGCTATTTTAATTTACCAGAAGGGAACCATCTGGGATTTAGTGGGATATAGTGGAAGTATACTGTACATATTCTCAGTATAGTTGTAACCCCCATTAAAATCTTCCATAGTTTTGCATAATTTGGTCATTTAACGGTGATTTTCCATAGCTATTTTAATTTACCAGAAGGGAACCATCTGGGATTTAGTGGGATATAGTGGAAGTATACTGTACTATTCTCAGTATCGTTATAATCCCGAATAAAATGTCCCATATCTATATCGATATATCGTCCATGGTTTTGTTGCCCAGTGGGAGATCTACGAAAACCGGGGAATCCCTCTCGGCGATGTGTGGCATTTCGTTCGCCAAAAATATGGGGAACTCATTTTGGTGATTTAGCTGATTCAACCAGCAATTGTTCATGGATATTGATGGGGCAACAAAATGAGATTACATTTGGATTCCAATATGGATTATGGAACCCAACAAAATGAGGATATTGTAGTTCGAATTTTGCAGAAACGCCCTTGAAACCAAGATGTTCAAACTGATGTTTTTTTGGATTCTCTTGGTATTGAATGTGGTCTTTTAGAATCTAATTTAAGTGCTGTTTCGAACAGTTTTTTCAAATCTCTGACTTTACTGAATTAACAATGAATTACAATGGGAAGCGCGTTTCGGCATGGATCGCATCGATGCGGGCAACAGACGCGAACCAGGGGGCCCAGGGGGCCGGAGGTCGGGGGCCGGAGGTCGGGGGCCGGAGGTCGGGGACCTGGATGCTGTGCATTGGACATGGCCCATGGCCTCTCTGGTTTTTTTGTGGTGTCCTGGTCTTTTCCTGGTATTTGTCTGGTATCGTTTTTGTATGTTTTTGGCGTTCTGGATTTTTTCTTGTATTTGACTGGTCTGTTGTATTTTTCGAAAGTATTTTGGAAAGGTAACTTTTTGGTATACATTATGTTTCTTGTATTTTTCTGGTGTGTTTTTTACAAATTATGGCGCTCTAGTATTTTCTAGTATTTGGACGGTTTGTTTCTCGTACTTTTCTGGTAGTGTTTTTTGTATTTTTCTGGCGTGTTTTTGGTATTGTTTCTAGTATGTTCTTGTCTTTGGGTTGTATTTTTCTGGTATCGTTTTTGTATGTTTTAAACATGTTTTGGTATTTTTCTTGTGTTTTAGTTTCTTTCTGGTATTTGGCCGGTCTTTTTCTGGTGTTTTCCTGGTTTTCTGGTTTAACACTTTAACGTGTACACGGCAGACATTACATATATGAAAGAACATCTGCGCAAACAGACTTCAATTCGCAGCTTGCTTTACCACAGGTCCCTCCACGTTTGAGCCTTAACAAAATGCCAAAACAAGACCTCAAGAAAAAAAACTACCAGATCGAGACTTGTCCAGAATACCAGCACCTCTCAAAAAACTTGCAGTTTCAGTTTTTGAAATCTACAGGAATTCGAACTTACAAGGATATTGGGTGTTCCCAAAAAGAACAAAAAGATACTCCAAAATGGGAAAGTGATGTGCAAAATGAGTAAGCTTGCACATGCTGATTTTACCCCTCCCTTCTAGTTGGAACTCCTTCGATTGGAGGTATCCCTCATGACGGCAAAAACACTAGTGGCTGGGAGGCTTGTTTTAAAAAAACACGTGGTGTCTGTGTTCCAAGTGTGTCTATGCGGCTGAGGATTGACGACGTCGAAATGCATTTGTATGTGGACATGTGGATCTTTATATGGTCTTATGTGCAAAATAGTTATATGTACAGAAAGATAAGTTTGCATGAATCAGAGATGTACACAGGTATATTATATAGTTCCTGGTTGGTGGTTTGGAACGTGAATTTTATGTTTCCATAGATTGGGAATGTCATCATCCCAACTGACGAACTCATATTTTTCAGAGGGGTAGCTATCCCACCAACCAGAGTTCTTTGTACATCAAAAGCTTAGCTCCCCTTCCGAAGCTTCATAACTTTTTGCTTCGGCCGCCAGAAGCCCAAGCTGACCCGTTCCAAAGCGCTGAAGCTTACTTGGTGGGGGAGCCTGGTGCAGAACAAGGTGGTGGTGGAAAGACTTGGTAGTATGAAATCTGGTTGTTTTTCATCCTGAAATGCAGCAGGGCTTTGTAAGAGAGGGATTTGCACATTGGAGCTGGTCCCCACTGTGTGTTTCAGCTACTGTGCACTCGTGGAGGGATTCCATGGGAGGCCGCAAGGATGCGAAGCGGGCCAAAGCCACCCAAAGAAACATGTTTGCGGTTGTCAAGACACTAATTGAATTCGAAGGGGAGTCGATTTTTTTACATATTATGACCTGAGATCTTGGCAACGAAATCTTACTTGTAGCGACTAATACGGATTGGCGATGCAATCGGTCACAGGTCACAGTAAACCCGATTGGTGGCTTGTTTGTTCGACAAGTTTACCGAACTTTGAAGAATTGAGTTTGCTGACGCAATGCACACAGTGAAATAAACGAGAGACTCGTATCAGACATGACAAAGAAACTGTTTCCATCTTTGGTCCAATCTGGCACTGCTTTGGGGGGTGTCCCACAATGACACAATGATCCGGAGAGATGGAGACTTTACGATGTAGCGATCCATTCTAATTCACCATGGAGGTGACCCGTTGCGTTTTTTTGCTGTGAAATCCCCAATGAAAATGGAGGTCTTTGTCGCTAAATCGAAGTAAATCTGGGATTTTTCAGCACATGGAGCTGATTACCAGAGTTATTAACCTTTATTAACTATTATTAGCACTGATTACCACCAACCAGCCATGGTTAACTTCTTATTAACCATCAAATGCCAAGTTTAACTTGACATTTATCAAGCTACAAACCATGATTAACCATCTGGGAATTGTAGCTACAATTCCCCATTAGTTCTGCATAGGTAGTTCTTGTTGAATCATTATTAAACATTATAACTGTGGGCGAAACAATCATAAACCACCCATCACTGGGAATGATTCAGTTACCACCTATAAAGTGTGGTGACTGGGGGATGATTGGGAGGTGCCAGGCATTCAATATGAATGTGGTTTAGAACCCCTATACCTATACGTATATATATATATATATTATATTATATTGTTATATTATATGATGTTATATTATATTATATTATGTTATGTTATGTTATATTTTATTATACTGTATATACATATGTCGGTAACTGGGGAAATTCCGTAGCTGAAGTATTTCATATGATTATATTATATATCCACTTCTAAATGAAACTGCACTCCCAAGTGGTTAAGTAGAGGGTGGAGCCTGACTTTATATTAAGCGCAGGGGTTTATGACCCACTTGAGTTCTTGAGTTTTCCATCTTATGAGTCATGGCTTTGTGACCCACCTCGTTCGTTTGCCATGGCTTTCATATGTTCAGGGGTCATGAATACCCTCTGGTAAACGTTGACATAACTATGGAAAGATCCAACATTTTTCATGGGTAAATCCACTATTTCTATGGAACATCACCATGTTCAATAGGTAAATCACCATTTTTAATGGAACAACTCACCATTTCGACTGGGCCATGGCTTCCAGTTCGCAAACTGACAGAACCAGGTTGGGTACTGTAGATCCCAAGTGATTTCACAAGGCTAAAGCAGGACCCGCAATCAGCCTTTCCAGGCTGCACAAAAAGGCATTCGGAAAATGTCCAGAGGGAGGGCTGACCCCAGTTGATTTCCATGGGAAAATGACCATTAAAACCATGGAAAACGTTTAAAACCATGGCGTTTTGGAGTTTTGGAGGTATGTGTCCCATATGGATTGGGAGCACGCAGGCGTTACTTGAGTATCGAGTCGCAACTACGTATTTTATTCAATACTGACATACTCGCAGGTTCTCGCAAGTGGCTCACCATTCACCCATATATGGAATTTCAGTGATAATTAACTCATCCATAGGCCATATAGTAAGGTCATTCATATTTATATATATACACACATATACATACATATACATATATATATATACTGTGAAATGTATAAGTATCCACCAGACATATCCAACATCAAACCGGTGACATGCAATCCTCCATTCAGGTGAATCCACATTCATTCTTGCTTTCTGCATTCCGCAGACACGTGGCTGCGGTCAGCCCAGGGATAGGTTGCTTAGTTTGCATCCGTGGTGGGAGTGGAGTGTCTTCGCCATTTGGAAGATAGATCGTGGCCGATCTCTATCATAGCTGTGGCCAGCTCGACTTACCAACCTTTTCCAGCGTTTCTGATCAGACACGTCAGCGGCAGGCACAAAACAGATTGCTGCTGATTGTGTGGCCCATTGGAACGTTTCTGGATTGACAGTTTTGCTTTGAGCTACCTCTGTGAGCCATTCACATTGGTAGCGGAGCCCCATCAGCTCCGGGGCACCGCAAAATTTTGACTGGCTTGTGAACAAACATCAGGTGCTGATTCAGTTGCTTACAAGAAGGACATGGCGGGCGAGGAGTCAACTGGTGATTTTTCCAAGTCCGTGTCCAACCAACTGGCTTCATTAGTTCCTACGTTTGACCCTTCCAAAGATGACTTAGAGCAGTATGTTCAGAAGATCGAAATGCTTCCTGAAATCTGGCCAGCTGAGAAACTGAATGAGTTGGCAACTCGATTAGTGCTGAATGCAACGGGAGCTGCTTTCCAGAAGCTTCAACTGCAAAAGTCCGAGATCATGACCAACTCCAAAGAAGGTATCCAAAAGCTGGTAGCCATCCTAGGTGGTCAGTGGGGCAAGGTTGGTTTGGAGAAGAAATATGAAAGTGTAGAAAAAGCTCTGTTCCGGTGTATCCAAAAGAGTGACGAATCCAATGACTCATTTCTGGCTCGAACGGACATTTACTGGACAGAGTTGCTTGCCAAAAAGACTTCCCTTGATGAGATCCGTGCCTATGTAGTGTTGCGTGGCTCACTTTTGACTCAAGATGACAAAAAGCGAGTGATTTTGGAGAGTGACGCAGCAGGTTCAGGACAGCTTGACATGACCAAGGTGAATCAATCAGTCCGAATGCTTGGCTCAGGATTTTTTCATGAGATGATGACAGGTGTCAAGAAGTCACGTGGTAAGACGTATGATGCTTCTGCTTTGAACGTTGATGATTCCGAAGAGCTTGATCAACCGACTCTTGCTGCTGAAGATCTAGGTGAGGATGAGATGCTTGAGGTTCTACTTCAAGAAGGAGATGAAGATGCTGTTTTCATAACCGATTATGAGACTGCAATGACAGAGACAATTCAAGATGACCCAGAACTTGCTGCAGCCATGAACACGTATGCAGATGCTCGCCGACGATTGAGTGAAAGGTTCAAGAACCGAGGATTCTGGCCAGTGCAGGCAGGTAAAGGTCGTGGTAAGGTCTTCAAAGGCAAGGGAAAGAACAGTCAGCAGAAGGGAAGCCGGAAAAGTCTTCAGCAGAGGATCATGGAGAGCTCATGTCGCATTTGCGGCAGGCGTGGACACTGGAAGGCCGAGTGTCCAGACCGTCCAAGAAACACCACAAGCACCACCGGCTCAACAGCGCCGGCCATGACCTCTACCACAGCTGAAGCGGATAGTGATCTCATGTCCATGGAGTTTATGCAACTGCCTGTGATTCCTGACACTGCACTTGATGATGAGCCCAGTCCGCAGAAAGCCGAAGCCATTGTGAATCATGTGATTTTTCGGGGTAAATCTTACTTAGTAACAAAAGGGGTAAATCAAGATCAAGTTCATAAGCCAGGGGATAATAGGAACCATGCCACAGGGGTAGTGCCGTCCATGCCACTGAGGAGGAAGTTTCAGAACCGTGAGAGTACATCGAAAGCCATGACAGCCAGCTGGAATTTTTCTAGCAACGAACTCGTAAGAGACGAGTTGGCCTTGTTTGCAACCCACGGGACTTACGGTATCTTAGACACAGGTGCCACCAAATCAGTCGTGGGAAGTGACCTTGTTCCCGATTTGCTTCGTCAGCTTCATCCCAAGGTTCGAGAGCAAGTGAAACGTTGCCGATGTTCAGTGACATTTAGATTTGGTAACCAAGGCACACTCGAGAGTGAACATGCCATAGTGCTACCCATAGGTAACTTGGGCCTTAAGATTGCCATTGTGAAAGGCCAGACTCCCTTGTTGCTTTCCAACACCTTGCTCCGGACCTTGAAAGCCCAGATTGACATTGAGCGCCAGCGTCTGTGCAGCCCAGTTTTGAATCAATCAGTGCAACTTCAGCTTAACAGCCGTGGTTTGTTTCTTGTTGATTTGAACGAACTTGCAATGAAGGCATCCAATCAGATTTGCACAGCCGAGACTTTTTCTCATTTTGACACCAACACCGCCGGCCCATTCAATGAAAAGGAAGCTGATACTACCGACAGTAGTCAAATCCGAAGGGGTCCAAGTTTTGACAGTAGCCAACAATCTCACAATTTGCACTGCACTTTTCCAAATGATTTCATGAACTCATCAGAACATCATTCATCACCCATGCAAGACCAATGCACAGATCGGAATTTTTCCAAGACATTTCACAGTGTTCATCATCAATCAGATGGAACATCCAATTTGCAAGATTCAGGATCAAAAGTCAGTGGCCAATCCACAGCATCCTGTTGCGAAACGATTTCCCATGACGTTGGCCGAACGCTTTGCCAGGGTTCAGAGACAAGTTCAGGAACCCGTCCTGAGCGAAGAACTGGGAGCGTTCAAAGCTCTCTCCTTCGAGGATCAGTGCCACACTGTTGTGACGTTTGGGAAAAGCCATGTAGGGAAGAAATTTCTGGAGGTTTGGCACCAGTAGCCGAGCTGGCTGCAGTGGGTGCTGAAGACATACGAAGGGTCGACGAAGCTGGATCACCTCAAGCTGTTCCATTTTGTCCAGGTGATGCTGGAGCAAGAGGAGTGCGGCTTGACTCCCAAGATCGACCCCAAGAGCAATGCCCAGCCAAAGGCCAAGGCCAAGAGCAGCTGCCGGCTGCCCCATCCAGAGGTCCCAATGGAGACCCATCTCACGACCGAGGAGGACGAAGAACCATGGGACATCACCAGCCACCAGCCCATCCGGCACGCGGAGATCGAGGCCTTGCAGACCAGGATGCTCAATGTAGAGAATGCCCTGACAGAGATTCTGACACTTTTGCGTCCAAAGTAGATCCATCAGCCATGACACCCGCTGAGATCGACAGATCCATGCCAGGGGTTTTCACTTCCGATGATGAATGTGATAACACACTGTATACTTTCACTCAACAACAAAAGTTTAAGGTGCAGTTACAAGAACTTATCAAGCGGTTTGAGATTGAACTTTTGGTTGCCCAACATCGCAATTCCAAACAAGGCAAACAGGCTCACTTGGTTGAAGTTTTCTGCAGTTCGGACAGTGAACTGACCCGCCAGACAAATCAACTTCACGGACGTGCCATGCGTTTTGGCCTGGCTCAGGGTGATTTGGCAACTCCTTCCGGGAGGAAACAGCTGTTTGAAACCATAGTGACCCACAAGCCTAAACATGTTTGGTTGAGTCCCACGTGCGGTCCTTGGTGTTCCTGGAGTGTGTTGAATGAAAGCAAATCCATGATGATGTTTCAGCAGATTCAACAACTTCGTGAAGAACATCTTTATCAACTTGCACTGGGCATTGTATTGTTGCGACACCAAATCACCAATCGACGACATCTTCATTGGGAACAACCCCGAAGGTCCTTAATGTTCAAAAGTCCTTTACTGCAAGAGTTGACCAATTCTACGTATGCGGCCGAGTTTGACATGTGTCGCCTGGGAGAGCTGAAGGATCCCATTTCACAAAAGTTGATTCAGAAAAGCATGACAGTTCAGACCACTTCCCAACACATGTATGAGAGTCTCCATGGCCGACACTGCAATAGGAATCATGAACATCAACGACTTGAGGGTAGTTTCAGATTGGACAATCATCGAGTGCAACGTACTGCCTTTTCAGAGAATTATCCAAGGAAATTTGCTCGAGCAGTTGCCAAGATTCTAGTGAATGTTAGAACAAACACTGAGCCTCCCAAGGGATATCAAAGGTGGAATCATGTTTTGGCAGCCAGTGACATGAAGCGCAAAGGTTCCGAAGGCGACAGCCTTGCTCGAGCTGCCAAGTATTTGAAGCCAGCTGCAAAACTGATTGCCCCTCATGAGATGACATCCAAAAGACGCCGTTTGAATCAGAAGGTTTCTGAACAGAGCGAGAATCAACAAGTTTTAGAACTGAGCCAGGACATCATGCAACTTGTATCCAAGGAACTTCCAAGGGTTGGCCCAAAAGAAATCACCAATACCACCATCAAGAGAAAGATTCAAGAATTGTTTGATGACAAGACGATTCTCAGAGTCATAGCTTGCAAAGGTTCCGAACGAACCCTTGAACCACCCAAAAATTTGATCAAGGGAGAAGCACCTTTTCGCAGAGCAATTATAAAACCTCGAGGCACATCAGATGTCAAAGTGGAAGATCAGTGGGAATCATGGGAATCACTTGCAAATCGACAGTTGTCCCGACCGTCTCATGCCAGTAGGGTAAATATAACAGTATTTGCAGCCAATCCTATGGATGATCATGCCAGCGAGTTGCCACCCAATGTGGGCAACGATTCCAGTGTGCCGCCGCCAGAATTCAGCAGTGACAGCAGCCAATCCCGGATTCTGGAAGAGTCCATGCATGATACTGCTGGTCCCGCACCCAACACTTCTGATTCTGGAAAATATGTAGAGTTTCCACCTGGTGACATTTGCTCTCAACATGAAAAGATCGATGTCCAGAGCCAGAAACATGGACCCCGATTTTGTGCACTGCCACCGGAAGAGCGAAGCCTCTTGGTGCGTATTCATAAGAATCTGGGTCACCCTTCCAGCCAGGTATTGAGCCAAGCCTTGCGACAGAAGGGGTATCCAAGAACCATGATTCAAGCATTAGAGGATTTTCGATGTTCCACATGCATATCCCAACAAAAGCCAAAGATACCTCGACCTGCCACTTTGAAGTCTGAAACTGACTTTGCAGACAAGGTCTCGTGCGATGGTGTGACTTGGACGAACCAACATGGTCAAAGTTTCCACTTTTATCACTATCTAGATCATGGCACAAATTTCCAAGTAGCAACACCTGCGCCCAGCCGAGCTGCCGAGCAAGCAATGGAGAAATTCACAGGAGCATGGCTCATGTGGGCAGGTCCACCAAATGAGCTGATCACCGATGCCGGAACGGAGTTTTCCTCTGAAGTTTTTGGTCAATTCATGCAACAAAATGGGATCAAACTGACTGTGATTCCTCCAGATGCTCACTGGCAAATGGGTCGAACTGAAAGACACGGGGATATTCTTCAAGCCATGTTGAGTAAATATGAAATGGACCATCCAATTAACACCTACAATGATCTCCAAGTTGCGTTAGCCATGTGCACAGCTGCCAAAAATGCTTGCAGTCTTAGACATGGGTTTTCCCCGGAAGTGTTGGTGTTTGGAAAGGGTTTACGAGTTCCTGCGTCTATCACGGGCGATGACGACCTTCCGGCTCATTTGACAGCTACAAGTGATCATGCTCAGGGCATCAGATTTCGTCAACACCTGGCGATGCGGGAATCAGCCCGGAAAGCTTTCCATGAAGCCGACAATCAGATGTCCTTGCGAAGAGCAATGTTACGCCGAAGTAGACCAAATCGGGGTGAGCACAACCCCGGGGAATGGGTGATGGTTTGGAAACTCAGGGAACAAAGAAGAACTTGGGTAGGCCCTGCCAAAGTAGTTCAACAAGATGGTCCCCATCAGGTGTTTTGTCTCTTCCAAGGAAACCTGATGCGGGCAGCACCCGAACACGTCCGTCCAGTCAGTGCAGCAGAGGCTCAACTCATCCCTGAGGATGAACATCAGCCAGACTCAATAATGGTGCCAGGTACAACTCGAAATCCTTCCACATTGAACACTCAAGAACAACTCAGTGACGCCAATAACCCCAATGTCATTAACCCATCAAATCCTCCTACTGTAACCATTCCCCCTCATACTACTACAGCAACACATGAGAATGTGAGTCGACCTGCATCATCTCAAGAACAACCCGATCAAGAACCTGAGGAAAGTGCCGAAGAGACCCCAATGCCTGAATTGCCTGCACATGAGATCCCTGTGCCTGACACCGATGAAGAAGGCGATTCACTTTTGTGCGACCTACTGATTTGCCAAGACATGGATGACAACCGTCATCTGCAAGATGATCCCAAGCTGGCCTGGCGATTTGAAGTTGAGGTGCCAGAGAGCGATATGAGTACTGACATCAGTGCTGATCAGCTTGAAACCATGATATTTCTTGCCACCAATCAGAAGAAACAACGCACTGAGGTTAAATTGTGCACCTTGACCGACAGCGAACGGCAAGAGTTCGACAAGGCCAAGCAAACCGAAGTAGAAAATTGGCTGAAGACAGGGACTGTTTGCAGGATTCTTCGAAACCGTTTGGCACCAGAGCAGATCCTGCGATGCCGGTGGATTTTCACCTGGAAACCCATCGAGGAAAAATCTGAACAAATCAAACAAGGGAAGACCCGAAAAGCCAAGGCACGCCTGGTAGTCCTTGGGTTTCTAGATCCTGCTTTAGAATCCCTTCCCAGAGACAGTCCCACCATGAGCCGACAGTCCAGAATGTTAATACTACAGCTCATAGCCTCCATGCAATGGGATCTTTTCAGTTTTGATGTCAAAGCAGCATTTCTCCAAGGTAGTTCTCAAGAGGGAAGAACCATTGCCATTGAACCAACACCCGAACTTCGCAAAGCAATGAATTTGAAAGAGAATGAGGTGTGTCAACTTGCAAAGTCAGCTTATGGGTTGGTAGACGCTCCTTTCCTTTGGTTTAAAGAATTGGACCGTACTCTCAGGAAATTGTCATTTATTCCTTCGCCATTTGATCCTACAGTGTATCTGTTGCCTGAACCTGGTCAACGCACACCTGCAGGAATCATTGGAGTCCACGTAGATGATGGATTGTGCGGAGGTAACAGATACTTCCATGAGAAACTTGCCCAGCTTGAAGCCATTTTTCCATTTGGATCCAAAAAGACAAAATCATTCACATTCACAGGGATTGATCTTCACCAAAATGCCAACTACAATATCACCATGTCCCAAGAAAAATATATTTCCGATATTGAACCTATTCATATTGATTCCACCAGAAAACATTCCCTTGAACTCCCAGTGAATCCAGATGAAAAACAAGCCTTGCGGGCGTTGATCGGTTCATTGCAGTATGCGGCAGTGAACACACGCCCTGACTTGTCCAGCCGACTTAGCCATTTGCAAAGCACCATCAATTCAGCGACAATTCAGAACCTGATCGATGCCAACCGTGTGTTACACGAAGCCAAACGACATAAAGACACCACAATTACGATACAATCAATACCAATCTCCAGATTACGTTTCCTTGCATTTTCAGACGCATCATTTTCATCAAAGAAAAATCCAGACTCACACACGGGCATGATGATCATGACAACTCACGAGAAGATTGCAGACAATGTACAGAGTCCAGTGTCTCCTATTTCTTGGGGTTGTAAGAAAATTCAGAAGGTCGTGGTCTCAACACTTTCAGCAGAAGCAACTTCTTTGAACAGTACCTTGGATCAGTTGTCATGGCTGAGGTTATATTGGGCCTGGATTTTGGATACCACTACAAAATGGAAAGAACCCAAATCAACACTGAATGATCTGCCACAAACAATCACCACTGCAACTAGCCGCAACACAGATATCACCGTTACAGATTGCAAATCCCTATTTGACCTGGTATCTCGAACAGCCGTGCCTAACTGTCAAGAGTTTCGTACGCAGCTATTGGCACGGTCAATCAAGGACCTCTTATCGGAAGGAGTTGACATCCGATGGGTCCACAGTGGTGCCCAGCTGGCAGACGCTCTTACGAAAGTGATGGAAACAAGTTTTTCCCCACATCTTTGTGTGGGGTTCTTGTTTTTGATTCTGTATCCCGGGCTCCTCCGCCTTCTCCTCCTCCGCCCTCCTCCACACTTTGTCCACACACGCTTTATCAACATACACTTTGTCACCACACACTTTGTCCACACACACTTTATCAACACACACTTTGTCCACACACACTTTATCAACATACACTTTGTCAACATACATTTTCTCAACAAACACTTTGTCACCACACACTTTGTCACCACACACTTTGTCCACACACACTTTATCAACATACACTTTGTCAACATACATTTTCTCAACAAACACTTTGTCACCACACACTTTGTCCACACACACTTTATCAACATACACTTTGTCAACATACATTTTCTCAACAAACACTTTGTCCAAAACACTTTGTCCACAAACACTTTGTCCACACACGCTTTATCAACATACACTTTGTCACCACACACTTTGTCCACACACACTTTATCAACATACACTTTGTCAACATACATTTTCTCAACAAACACTTTGTCACCACACACTTTGTCCACACACACTTTATCAACATACACTTTGTCAACATACATTTTCTCAACAAACACTTTGTCCAAAACACTTTGTCCACACACACTTTGTCCACACACACTTTGTCACCACACACTTTGTCCACACACAACCTGACATCCACCTTCGTTTCACGTGGCAGGCGTGGCACAAACTCACATCTACCGTCGTTTTGCGTGGCAGGCGTGGCACTTATGGTACTGGGTGGCGCGCTTGGGCCGGGATTTGGCGCCTGTGACGCCGCGGCACTTTGCGTGGCAGGCGTGGCACAACCTGACATCCACCTTCGTTTCACGTGGCAGGCGTGGCACAAACTCACATCTACCGTCGTTTTGCGTGGCAGGCGTGGCACTTATGGTACTGGGTGGCGCGCTTGGGCCGGGATTTGGCGCCTGTGACGCCGCGGCACTTTGCGTGGCAGGCGTGGCACAACCTGACATCCACCTTCGTTTCACGTGGCAGGCGTGGCACAAACTCACATCCACCGTCGTTTTGCGTGGCAGGCGTGGCACTTATGGTACTGGGTGGCGCGCTTGGGCCGGGATTTGGCGCCTGTGACGCCGCGGCACTTTGCGTGGCAGGCGTGGCACAACCTGACATCCACCTTCGTTTCACGTGGCAGGCGTGGCACAAACTCACATCTACCGTCGTTTTGCGTGGCAGGCGTGGCACTTATGGTACTGGGTGGCGCCCTTGGGCCGGGATTTGGCGCCGCGCCGCGCACTTTGCGTGGCAGGCGTGGCACAACCTGACATCCACCTTCGTTTCACGTGGCAGGCGTGGCACAAACTCACATCTACCGTCGTTTTGCGTGGCAGGCGTGGCACTTATGGTACTGGGTGGCGCGCTTGGGCCGGGATTTGGCGCCTGTGACGCCGCGGCACTTTGCGTGGCAGGCGTGGCACAACCTGACATCCACCTTCGTTTCACGTGGCAGGCGTGGCACAAACTCACATCCACCGTCGTTTTGCGTGGCAGGCGTGACACTTATGGTACTGGGTGGCGCCCTTGGGCCGGGATTTGGCGCCTGTGACGCCGCGGCACTTTGCGTGGCAGGCGTGGCACAACCTGACATCCACCTTCGTTTCACGTGGCAGGCGTGGCACAAAGTCACATCTACCGTCGTTTTGCGTGGCAGGCACACACACACACAGACACACACACAGACACACACACACACACGCACACACACACAGATAAACACACACACAGACAAACACAAACACAAACACACACACACACGCACACACGCACACACGCACACATACACACCCACGCACACACACACACCCACACACACACACACATCATCCAAACGCCAGTCGTGGGCCATCCGTTTTCGTGATGGTCTGCGCTGTACGTTTGCGGACACATAATCAATGGTCACGCATCGATTGCCCTTCGCCGCACTTCCTGGCGTGGGGCATCTTTGATCGTGGCCGCACACCACACACATACTCGCACACACACACACACGCACACCCACACACCTCACCCACAAACACAACTCATCCGTACACAACTTACTCACACATACTCGTCCACACCTAACTTACTCCACACCAATCCTTCACCATCTCTTTTCTCTTTCTTGCTTACCCCATGCCGTCTTTGCCTTTCTTTTGTTGCTTGTTGGAAGAAGTTGACTTGTGGGGTTATCCGGTCCTTTAATTTGAGACAGACCCTGAAAAGTGGATACTATATTCTCCATGATGAAGACAAAATTCTCAAAGATCGTGCTACAGCTCGCAACAGAATCAAGTGGCTACAGAACTCTACAAAAGAAGAAAACAATGATTTTTTGGGAGTGTGAAATGTATAAGTATCCACCAGACATATCCAACATCAAACCGGTGACATGCAATCCTCCATTCAGGTGAATCCACATTCATTCTTGCTTTCTGCATTCCGCAGACACGTGGCTGCGGTCAGCCCAGGGATAGGTTGCTTAGTTTGCATCCGTGGTGGGAGTGGAGTGTCTTCGCCATTTGGAAGATAGATCGTGGCCGATCTCTATCATAGCTGTGGCCAGCTCGACTTACCAACCTTTTCCAGCGTTTCTGATCAGACACGTCAGCGGCAGGCACAAAACAGATTGCTGCTGATTGTGGGGCCCATTGGAACGTTTCTGGATTGACAGTTTTGCTTTGAGCTACCTCTGTGAGCCATTCACAATATACATATACATATATACATATATATATAGGTTAGGAATACCAAGGCCGGCGATGCAGAAGCCCCGGGTCATGAACATCACGTGCGCCGGAAAAAATCCCATGGGAAAATCCAAGGGTTTCCATGGTGATGTTTTCAGATATGGGAATATGATCAATGGCCATTATTGAAAATGACCATTATTAGTGGATTTACCCATTAGAAATGGTGATTTTCCATAGTTATGTTAGTTTAATAATGGTTCACAGTGGTTAATTATGGTTAATCATTGGTATATAATCAATGGCCATGCTGGCCAGGAACCGAGAACAATTGGAGGTACCGATTCCATATATATTTTTGGCCTATTTTTTAGGCCTAAATTTCAGGGAATATCCCACAATTCATATGGCCAAAAATATGGTACAGTACCTCCATTTTAGGATCCTGGAGATCTCCCATTGATATGATGGGATTCACCAAGTATGGCAGCATTTTCGATGATTTTATCCGGCGATGAGAATTTGATGATTCCAAATTGTCATAGATGATTTACCCGAAATGGTAAACGTTTACATAACGAACTGGAAAGATCCACCATTTGTAGCTGGGTAAATCCATTATTTCGAATGGGCCATGGCTTCAATAGCTTTTTGTATGTTTACCAGGCCGGGTAATTTTATAGATGATTTTCCCAGCTCGAAACCTCCATTTATGGTTGGGATGTTCCATAACAAAGCTATGGTTATGTTTTAAAAAAAGATGGTCATTAATCAATCTTCATCAATAGTTGATTTACCCAGCTAAAAAATGCTGGATCTTTCCAGTTCGTTTTTTGGGACTGTTTACCATTTCGGGTATATACCTATTCAACCCATATTATAATTAGTTGATTTTCCCAGCTATAAACCTCCATTTTCAACCACTATTAACCACCATTTTCCTATGGTTTTCCCATGGTTTTTATACTCCAGGTGTTCATCTCCAATACTTGGAGGCTCATGTTTAATATGGTTTTTTGTTCGGGTTTAGCAGTACCGTTTAACAGTGATTTCTAATGCTATTATGCCATGGCTTGGTGAAACCTGCCTTGTCATGGTGGGATTGCCACCATGTCAAACATCTACATGTATTAATATGGTTTTTTACAGGGTTTCACAGGGATTTCTAATGGGACTTGATTGGGATATGAATGAGATTAATACCATCCTTTAAAAATCAGCTCCATGGTTTGCTGGAAGATTCCCCATTTAGTTCAATGAAGTTCCCAGCTGGAAACCGTCAAATTTCTGAAAGAATTTTCCAGCGAGCCATGTTTGATTACTGAAGGGGTGCAAGAAAAGTTTGCCAGGCTGGACCCTAATCCAGTTTTCCAATCCGTCGCGTGGCAGGGCACTGTGCAGATGTCCTTGGTTCAAAACCAGACACCGCCCACCAGAGAGCCTCAGAGGTAGATTTCCACGGATGCTGCGGCGGTATTCAACTGTACCTTGACATCCACAAAGCATTCGACAATCTGGACCGGCAGATCCTGTTTCCCATCTTGACTCGTTGCCAATTGACCTCTTGGTCACCCTGTTAGCAGCTTGGCACTCACCACAGCATCCGACAAGCCAGCCATACCCAGGACATCCACACAGGCAAAGGGGTCCGACAGGGGTGCAAGATAGCACCGTTGCACCTCTGAGGACTGGGATTGCAGAGATTTGAATTGTGTTTCAGGGTAGAATTGAATCCATGTAGATGTTTGACATGGTGTTTCCAACCCACCATTTGCAGGCACCGAGCCCTGGCATTTGCAAGCCATGGAATTGGACGAGTCGCAACTGTTTTGGTGTTTTGGATGAAGCATCCCAAGTTTTACTGCACTTCCATCCCCATTCATCTTTTAGTATACATTATATAGTATAGATTATACATTATCATCTCACGTTTACAGTTGCATTAGTATGGGGATTTGAGTGCATTATACTTTAAATCTCCACTATCATTAATATTGTGCACTGAATGGATATTTAAAGTATAATGATAATGGGGGCTTCATTTCCCATTTTACATATAATCTCCATTATCATTTATCATGTCCATTGTCAAATCCCACTATCATTATAATTTCCCATACATGTCCCATATCATTTCCATTTATCATCTCCATTTACATGTAATATGATGATAGTGTAATACATTATCATCCTTATAAAACCATATTAAACCATATTAATCCACTATAAATGTGCCATTTCTTTTACGATGATAGTCAAATCCTACTTTCTGGTGGTGAAACTGTGCCCAGATGCCCAGGTACTTCGATGGAAACCTCCTCATCGTCCGCGATGCGCGGGGAATTGTGGACGTCCTTAGACGAGAGGAGAACCGGTGAAAAATGGCGAACGAACAAAAAACTGGGGAGGAAATGGGATGTGCATGGAAAAATTGATGGATTAGTGATTTTCATGGAAAAAACCATGAAATTTGATGGAGTACTGACAGTACTGAGTGATTTTCCATGGATTTTTCCATGGATGATGGTGGATATTGATGGGAGCTGTCCAGGAGCCCCTGCGAAAGTTGCCTCAGACTCCAGGCGGAGCTGTCCAGGGCGTCGAGACCATTGGGGACCATTGGGGATCGCCCCAGACGGAAAGTTGTAAGATCCTTCGGATTGAACTGGTCAATGGTGGATAATGCTGATTAATAGTTGTTAATAATGGTTAATGGTGTTCAATAATGGTTAAAAACGTGGTTTGTTTGATTTTGGAACAATGATATACAATCAACCACTCCACCAATAGTGGTTAATAATGGTTAATAATGGTTAATGAGATATCTGGTTGGTGCTGTGGAACATGAATGGATGATTTTTCCCATTCAGTTGGGAATGTCTAATCATCACAACTGACGAACTCCATCATTTTTCAGAGGGGTTGGTTGAAACCACCAACCAGATTGTGAAAAACTTGGGTGTTTCATGGTGTTTCTATGTTTCTGTACTGTATGTCGAAGCCAAATAGTCCGTGGAAGCACCTTGTTTGTTAATTTATGGTTTTGCCAAAGCCACCCAATTCGAAATGGAGTCCGCTAGTTTGGAGTAAAGGATTATAGCACATTTGGATAGCATTTAGGGAGTTTTTAGTGAGGGAATGGGGTTGTTTTTGATTCACCAATGATGATACCAGTAATTTGGCGATTCAACAGCTACTCGAATCTGTGTTGGGAAGTGCCAAAATCCCCCTCCCCGGTGTCATCAAACGTGGTTGGTGTTGGTGTGTGTTTTCCCCAGCTATAGGCCTTCATTTATACGGGATTTTGCAGCCAGCCACGTTTGATTTCCGGTATGAAAATGCGTTTGTAGGTGATTTAAGTAGCATGAAAAATTGCGTTGAGGATTTGTTTGGGTGGCAAAATCGGAAACTCTCAATGTGGTGCTAGAAGCGTTTCCTGAATTTCCCTCTAAGCAATCCATCAAGTTTCCCTCAAGTCCCATCAGCATTGAGTCATGAAGCCATTGATATTCCCATTGTGGGATATTGTGGGTAGTTTTCTCCTGATAATCCATTCCTTGATGTGTTTCACGTGTATCCCATATCTAAAAACAAATCTATGCATATATATATATACAATATATTTATATATACACATCAATAAATCCAAACAGCAATCACAATACCCATTATCGTAATAAAGACCCATCCATGTGTGTGTGTACAGATACATATTATATATATATACACATACAACCATATAATATATATCTATAGGAAATATCCTTGCACATACATGTAATGCTATACATGCTAATATATAGCACATATAACCACTGGATATTTATGCACATATAATATATACACATATACCATATATATATATCTATCTATCTATCTATCTATCTATCTATCTATCTATCTATCTATCTATCTATCTATCTATCTATCTATCTATCTATCTATCTATCTATCTATCTATATATACATTACATGCCCAAGAATCTGGTAGCCCTAAATCCATTGGTCGATCCGCAGGACCATCCGTGAGTCCTCCACAGTCAGGTGCCTGAAAATTTCTCTGGCAAAATCTGAAGAAAATCGGGGAAAATCTGAAGAAAATGGAGGATTTAATGGGAAACCCATAGGAAAACCACAGGAAAATTAGATTTTCAATGGATACCCTCCGGTAAACTAACAAAAAACCATGGAAAATCACCATTTTTCATAGGTAAATCAGCTATAAACAGCCATTTTCAACAGCTATGTCACAAATTACCAGAGGGTATGTCTTGGAAGATGTCTTGGAAAATGTCGGAAATCACCCATCACCGGATTCTACTGGGAATTATTGAGGTATAGTTAAGAGTATGATTCGGGTTAGTACAAGAAGGGGAGATGGCTATGGAATTTTGTGTAATTTAAGTACAACTGAATAGATATTGAGAAGGTTTAACCATTCATGAAAGTGGGGACTTAGCGAACATGGGAAATGAAAGCCCAATGATTAGTGCTGAAGTTATTTAATGCTATGTTTATAGCTATGAGCATGGGATTACAGTGGAATTTGAATATCAATATGCGATATTCATACCCGTTACCCTCTGGTAAACATACAAAAAACTATGGAAAATCACCATTTTTAGTGGCTAAATCCACGAACTAAATCACCATGTTCAATAGCAAACTGTTTGTTTACCAGAGGGTAAACATCCATTTTCCTATGGTTTTCCTAAGCTTTTCCCATTAAAACCTCCATTTTCCTATGGGAAAACCATGTTTTTTGGCCGGGTAAAAACTGGACATGGGTGAAAGAAACTGGAAGTTTCCAAGTTGTGGTCATTATGGTCATGTTCATGGATAATCCATAAAAAATCATCCGAGTTTGGTGTTTTTTCCCCATCAGAGAAACAACGGGAACAACGGGAAAATCTATCTATGCCCACGGTGGGAGACCTGTAACCCCATGAAATGGAGGAGTTGTGGGATACTTGTGGGATAGCATTTTGAACTGCCAGCAATTTTGCGGGTCAAATTGAAAGCGGAATGTATGAAAAGAGTCAGTAAATACTTATATATATATATACATTCCATGTATACCCATATTACTTGGGAATGTCTAATCATCCCAACTGACGAACTCACTCCATCATTTTTCAGAGGGGTAGGTTGAAACCACCAACCAGATAAAGTTCGTATATATATATACAATTGAACATATGTTTGTCTCAAAATGGAACGCCTTCAATTTAATAATGGATTATCATCATGTTCCCTTCCGCAGATAGCCATTTTGGGGTCCCTTTTTTTCGCGCGCTTCCATGTTTTAGATAGTCCCTTTCCGCAGGGATTCAAACGATGAATCTGGGTATCATAATCTGGGTAAATTACAACCGAGCCCTGGAATGATGGGAATTGTAAGGGGTAACTATCCCAAGTGTAAGGGACTCAGTGAATTGTGATAATTTACCCAGATGAATGTGTTTGAATCTAGGAATCTTATGGCAAGGATTAGAAAACGGCTAAACAGTTCGCAACGGGCTGATTTCGCCTCTCATAGCTGGTAAAACGATTGGAATGTCGTCATACCCGTGCTTGAACTCACCATGTGCGAATTTGAGCGATCACTTGGGCATGGCAAGTTAAAATGTCAATTGATCATACAAGTCCAGAGTCCAACTACCCAATGACTTGACCTAAAAACAGTGGGCATTGCCCCGCTGATGTTTAGCGCGTTGAAAAGTCATCTAACTACAGAATTATCTACGAGAAACCCTCATTGGCTTACTTACTTACTTCCTTGCTTGCTTGCCTGTCTGCCTGCATGCTTGCTTGCACACCAGCTCAGGTAAGTGGTAGGGGCACCCCATTCTATCCCCATTATATCCCCATTGTATCATCCCAATAAAATGTTTGCTCCTATTTATGTTTAGTCATAATTGTTTGTAGATATCCCCACTATATCCCAATCATATCCGCATGTTCCTCATTTGCTTGTGCCATGAAAATCCACTTGATATCCACAATGTGATCGATCACATTCTCCCAAGTTAGCTCCACTTTGGGGATACCACTGTGTACTGGTTGGTGGTTTGGAACATTTTTTATTTTCCATAATATATGAGATAATCCTTCCCATTGACTTTCATATTTTTCAATTGTCAATGGCATTATCCATATGTTATGGAAAATTAAAAAAAGGCAACCATCTATAATGAATGGTTGGTCAATGGAAAATATCTGGCATTCCATCATGATGGTTATTGCACCACCAGATGATGATTAACCATCATTAGCCATAAAACCATTAATGTTAACCATAAATTGACCAATAGTAGGCATGTTAAATAACCATTTATTAACCATTAATCTGGGTAAATTATAACGACCTCACTGTTCTCCCTCACTATAATCATAGTTAGGATTCGGGGAATCATCCCAAAATTGCCGAACTATTCAGGTTAGTGAATTGTTATAATTTGCCCAGATAAATGGGATTATCCCACTATTCGATGATTATCCCATTGATATTAGAAATAGTTCCTATTGGTATATCCACTATTATCCCATTATCCCACTATATTGTAATTTACCCATTAATATAACCAACTAATATGACGCGCAGCATGTAGAGTCAACTACACTCACTTGCCCCAGGCTCGGATGGCGGGCACAAATGAGCCATGAAATCAAAATGACACGCAAATGGCCTGTACATAAAAGGTCAATCACCCAATAACAAAAAGGAGTGATGAAATCAATTCCGAATTAACCTCCAGCATTTCTTTGCGCCCTCTGACGTTTCATGAAAGCTTGATTCAATGTCCACCTCTGATGCGGCGTTTTTTCGACAATCTCTTCAAAATGACAGACAATGTTGACAGATTTAGAATGTATCGGTCGATTGAGAGCCATCGCACCATTCAGTCTCATCAAGTAATCATTGATGAAGCACATTGTTGCTCTCTGATTGGGGATTATTGGCCTGCAAGGGATTCCAGCCACTGATGTCTTCAAACCCAAGCGGAACAAGGAATAGCACTTGTTTGAATTGAAAGATGGAATCGGATCATACTGCAAGATCGTACCAACATTCTGCAGTAAATTTCTGAAGCATAGAATCTGTAAGGACACCGTCCTCTTTGCGTCAGGCAAGGCAATAGCTTCCGGGTCACCATACCCAATATACTTTGACTGTGCACCTGCACCAGAAATCCGGATAGGACATCGCCAACCCGTACTTAAATAAAAACTTGTGAGCAGTTCAAACCAGGAAATACCAATATCGCCATGTTGTACCGGATCATAGTCCGGTTGCAAATCCTCCGGCCACTTAAGCAAATCAGCCCACCAACTAATATGACCAACCAATAGGACCGGTTATTGCACCACCAAGCAGCCAGGACCGGTGGTTCAAAATGTGGTTCCAGCGGTGAAGAAAGCGGCCACGCCCAGTGAGCAGGTGGGGCAACTGGACCGTCATGGATCCCCAGAAGGGTTGGTTTTATTGGGAAAACCATAGGAAAACCATAGGAAAACCATAGGAAACCATAGGAAAATGGAGGTTTTATTGGAAAACCATCGGAAAACCATGGGAAAATGGAGGTTTTATTGGAAAAACCATAGGAAAACCATAAACCCATAGGAAAATGGAGGTTTACCCTCTGGTTATGACTAACAGTTTGCCATGGAAAATCAGCATGTTTAAAAGGGAAATCATTTATTTCTATGGGCGATGTTCCATGGCTATGTTAAATAACCAGAGGGTATAATGGAAAATCCTGTTCAAATGGATGATTTAGGGATACCCCCCATTTTAAGAAACCTTCATATGGGTTTACTTCAATCTGGTTTAATATGGTATGGGATAATACAATAATGCACAGTATCAATATGCATGGGATGATATTCCTATGAATAGGGATGATTTTATTGGATGAGAATGTGACTATCATAAGATATTAACAGACGTTTAATTGATGTATTTAACAGATGATGGATGATCTCTTTTAGGATAAAGTGTTATTCTCCCAGAATCAAACAAGCTGAGCCTTCAATTGGCGAGAAATCTTGCGGAAAAAAACAACTTTTTGGCAGGTAAAAATATGGATTGCTTTGCACTATCCTGGAAAAGCAGTGGGAAGTCACCTATCAGGTGAGTGTTTATCGATTTATCATTGCTTGAAATCTTCGCGGCGAACCCGCAAAGATCCATATTAAGTCCATATTAAATATCCTAAAAACATCCAAAAACCCATTTCAAAAATCCACAATATTCATATTCCCACAATAACCCCCAAACAAATCTCCATATGACACATCTAAAATCCCCAGAATCCATCGAAAATCCCACCGGAATTTCGGAAGGTCCACGGCCTCCTGGAAGAAGTTCAAAGCCTCAGCAGCTCCTTGGAGGTGACGTGGAAAACCGAAACGCTTGGTTTTTCAGGGGGGCAAAATGCTGGGATTTTTCGGGAAAATGGTCGGAATGTCTGGATGTTGGGAGATTTTTTGTGGGAAAATCCTGAGATTTGAGGCTTGAAAATGACAATTTTAGGGTGAATTTTGGTCTGATGTTTGCGGATCGAAATCGATAAAGAATAGCTTGGTGAAGCGATGGTTGCTGAAAATGATGATTTGACTGTATCTGATTGGTGGTTTGGAACATTTTTCATTTTCCATAATAAAAAAGGGATGTCCCATTGACGAACTCATATTTTTCAAGATTGTTTTTTAACCACCAACCAGATGTATATTTATATCATCACCATTTATGGATGGACATAATCCACATAATCCACCACCTCGTTTTGAGGAGCCTTGTTTGATTCCAGCCTCATCCTCTTCGTATGACCCAAAAAAGCTTGGACAGTTGAACATGACTGGAAAGGACGAAGAGTTGGTGGTTTTTTGATGGGAAAATACGGTGGATTTCTAGTTGGGTAGCAATTGATGTGTGGTTGGTGTTGAAGTCGTTGGAATCAGAAGCTAAGTGGCTCCACATCATCTCATGGAAATAAACAGATATTGGGATGCTGCCAGAAATGACTTCTTTGGACGACTTGATTTTGGAAAGCATAAAAGATGTAGGGTGTGGATTTTAATTCATATTGAATTTAGCCATAGAACCATAATTGTCAAGAACAATCAGGTGTGGATTTTGAATGAAATGATGTTTAATTTGGAGATTACAAATAACGATCATCTCACATTGAGAGGCTTGAAAAATCGTGGCCACTTTCCGCGCGGTTTGACCAGTCGCCGAAGTCTTTCTGTGATCATCTGAGAAATTTTACCATGGCAACTGTCGTTTGCCATGTAAAATGATACCCAATGGATTCCAATGGCCGTGGTAGGTGGGAGACGCATCAAAATAAAAATAAAAATGCATCAAAAAAAAATATAAATGCATCAAAAAAAATAAATGACCATACAGGAGGAAAGGAAGGAAGGAAGGAAGGAAGGATTTTTTTAACCGGCTCCCATCTGTACCTACTATTCTTTTGCTTTTTCATAAGATATCCATCGAGACATGTGCCTATGTGCTTCTTTCTTGGTACGCATTGCGGGGGGAGGCGCTGCGCCCTCCCCCCTGCGCCCCCCACCCGCTTTTTTTTTATTAGCATTTCCTTTTTGACGACTACTACTACTGCGACGACGACTACTACTATCTCTATTACTATTACTATTGCTATTACTATTACTATTACTATTAATTACTATTACTATTGCTACTACTTCTACTACTACTATTACTACTACTAACTACTGCTGCTGCTACTACTACTGCTACTGCTACTGCTACTACTACTGCTACTGCTACTGCTACCCCTGCGACTATTGTTATTCTTACGACGACAACCACATCTACCACTACTACTACTACTACAACTACTACTACTACTACCACTACTACCACTACTACTACCACTACTACTACCACTACTACTACCACTACTACTACCACTACTACTAGTACCACTACTAGTACCACTACTACCACTACTACTACGACCATTACAACCACTATTGCTGCTGCTGCTACTACTGCTGCTACTGCTACTGCCACTGCTACTGCTACTGCTACTGCTACTGCTGCTACTACTACTACTATTATTACTACTACTACTATTACTACTACTACTGCTACTACTACTACTACTGCTACTACAACTACTACTACTACTACTGCTGCTGCTGCTGCTGCTACTGCTACTGCTACTGCTACTGCCACTGCTACTGCTACTGCTACTGCTGCTACTACTACTACTACTATTACTACTACTACTACTACTACTCCTGCTCCTGCTGCTGCTGCTGCTACTACTATATTTTTTTTTTGATACGGATATTTTTTTTTTGATCTAGGTTTGCAGCACGAGACTCAGGAGGTCTCACACAGTGGCATCTGGATATTTTTTTTGATGCATTTTTATTTTTTTTGATGCGTGCTGGATATTTTTTTTGATGCATTTATATTTTTTTTTTGATACGTGTCTCCAAGGTAGGTGGCTTTCCTAATCATAATCCAATACATTACCATTCCAATGTTAGATTACATAATCTTAATCCATTGTCATAAAAACCAGATACCCAATGGATTCCATTGTAAGCTCAAGCCATGCCTTTGCGATGGCCATTTTTTCGGGCTGTCAAAACCTTGGTGGCGGTTTTGAGTGAAGAAAAATTTTCGGGTCTTCCTAAAATGGAGCTACCCAAACATGGATAGTTTATAAGGGAAAATCCTATTTAAATTGATGATTTAGGGGTACCTATTTTAGGAAACCTCCATATTAATCTAGGATAATTCTCAAATTGATGATTGATGATTGATTAGTATAATTCCCAAATTGATGATTATTATAGTATCTATCGATCATCAAATTGGGAATTAGTATGATTGATTGGGAATTAGTATGATTAGTGTCTATCTATCTATTTGGGAATTATACTAGCCAACGTTTTCCCTTACTGATATTCCACGATCACAAAGGGGATGCAAATGGAATACTGCGTCAGAACCGATCTCCAAGCAATTTTCTCCATACACCTGTGTAGGTGATTTGATCAAGCTGTTCGAGCCATATCACAGGAAGTTGCGGCGAAGTAAGCCACCTATCACTACTGTATGAGTGGAACATGACAGGGGAGCGAGCACCTGTTTCGAGTGATACGAGAAACGACCCGGACGTTTTTTTTTTGGAGCACGCACAAAGGGCCAGTCAGCAAGGCGTGGCAAACACACGTGAACAAATCCATTATCCCATAAGGCACCGAAATGCCTTGTCGGGGGTGAATTGGCCTAGAAATTGCAACGGAGGAACGAAATGGATAGTGCCATCGGCCAGAATATCGCGCTGATCATTTTGGAACTGCGAATGCCTGATGCAGGCGCTTGGCTTGCCTGTACAGCTACCCCACAGACGGTCACTCAGGACCCAGCGCTCTTTCAAGATTTTATTCTCACTATGAACAACATGTCACTCCAAACGAGATGCGACACCCAGATATTAGAAAATGATATGCTCTATGCTGATGAAGTGTTGTGGGCCCAGCTTGGCAGAGACCAGATCACCTTTACCGATATGTCAACGCTGCACGTTGTAAGAGTAACTGACGAAGCCATGTGTTCCATTGATGGTCTAAGTCTTCCAGCCCTCCATTCTAGATGGCATCACCTTTTCTCCAAGCAGCAACCCATTGGCAGAACTAGATGCAACTGGTGCAAACTCCAGGCACTTCGAAACCAAAGCACCGAAGACCAGCAGGCGCTGGTGACCCGCTTTTGCTTGGAGGAATGATGTCTGATGACAGGCACTTATATGTTTACTTGTTCACGAAATTGCAAATGGCATTGTTCCCATAGCAACGATGGAAATATCCACATATCAGGGAGGTTCGAACCCACCAACAGATCTCATCAGAGACGGGCATTTATCAGATCTAACAATCAAACAAATCGGAGGAGGGGTTTCATCTACCCTAGCATGATTCTTTCTGGAAGTCAACCAACCTAGAGTCAGTTCCAATCTACAGAGCCAACTGTCATTCGTATCTCGATGTGTCAAAAGCAATGGAATCTATTTTTTTTATTTCAGGGATTTAGATTTTAGAGAGGATTAACATCCATTTTAAAGGAGATGAAAACATCAAGTTTTATCCAGATAAACCATGATAAACCCCCATGGATTTATGGATGTTAATCTCCTGGAAAATTCCTACCATAAAATATTTGACCCAACCCCAGAGATTGACATTTTTCAAGCTTTTCTAACTGTGATTCCCAGAAGCACGCTTGGATGTTTCTGCAAGTGCAAGAAAAAAATCTGTTTGGTGGTTTGGAACATTTGGATTATTTTTCCATATTAAGAATGTCATCATCCCAACTGATTTTCACTCCATCATTTTTCAGAGGGGTGGGCTCAACCACCAACCAGCCATAATTTCCCAATGATTAACCATCATTAACCACTAGAAAACCACTATTAACCATTACTAATCACTATTTTTCTATGGTTTTCCTATGGTTTTCCCATTTAACCACTATTAACCACTATTAGTAACCATTTAATTTTCCCATAATTAACCAATGATTAACCATCATTAACCACTATTAACCACTATTAACCACTAGATATCGCTATCCAGTACAAGCCCTGATTCCACAATTCCACAATCATCCGCGTCGTCCCATCGTTCTGAATTCATCTTCGATAAAATTGTCCCATCGTTTCTGAATCCCATGATAACCGGCCTGGTAAACATACAAAAAAACTATGGAAAATCACCATTTTTAATGGGAGAATCAGCTATAAATAGCCATTTTCAATAGCAAACTGTTTGTTTACCAGAGGGTAACATTTATGATTCTATGTTCATTGCTCAGTGGTTATACCCATTGCTCATAGTAATTACTAAATGACAAAAATCATCCATATTCGCCAGAGTTTATATATCCTGAACTCAGATACATATACCCTCTGGTTATTTAACATGGCCATGGTATAGATGGCCCATAGAAATAGATGGTTTACCGTTCTTAATAGCATGGTGATTTTCCATGGCAAACTGTGAATGTCATAACCAGAGGGTAGACCTCCATTTTCCTATGGTTTTCCCATTGTTTTCCCACTAAAACCTCCATTTTCCTATGGTTTTCCCATTGTTTTCCCATTAAAACCTCCATTTTCCTATGGTTTTCATACCCACTGGTTATTTAACATACCCACTGGTCGGCCATCCAGATCCAAAAATGAAACCATTGAAGTTGAGTTCATTTCAACAACAAACGGTTCGTCGAAACCCCAATGAAAACTAGGTCAACTCCATGAATATTTCAAGATCTTCATGGAATACCCCGTGGTAATTTGTTACGCAGCTATTGAAAATGGACCATTTAGTTCGTTGATTTACCCATCTACAAAATGGTGGATCTTTCCAGTTCGTTTTTGTAACAGTTTACCAGAGGGTATATACCTATTAAATCCATATGATAGTTGATTTTCCCAGCTATAAACCTCCATTTTCAACCATTATTAACCACTACTAACCACTCTTAACCATGAAAACCACCATTTCCTATGGTTTTCCTATGGTTTTTTTTTATATTCCAGGTGTTCATCTCCAATACTTGGAGGGTCATCCTCAGAATACGTGGTGAAAAGCTCCGTAAAACTTCTCACACAACAACAGGCCCGGCAACAGTTGGCCAAAGAGATTGAGAGGCGTGGAGGGTCAGACAGATTTGGCGATAACACCAAAATAAGTTGGGATATGGCTATGATATAACCACTATAACTAGGCTATATTATAATATATATATATATACACGTATCATATATATATTATACTATAGATTATATATATATGTGTGTTTTTAATATTATGTATATATAACATATGTTATTATATATATATACATCCACTGCACAGGAAAGAAGCAACGGGATTTTGATGTATATGGCCAGTGGATGGCCAAAAACTGAGGATTGAAAGATGGCGAACTTTGGAACCAAATCAGCAGCCTATCCGTGGTGCCCATCTCTTCCGTGTGAGGAGGAAGCAGTTTTACTCGAAAATGCTGTGCAGTCCTGGGCTGGGTGTTTGGCAATCGTCCCTGCAGGAGGACACTGAGGACACTCCGCGTGGCGACCGTAGGCCAAGTGCGTGTCCGACCGCCAAAAAACCCTCCCTTCAGTCATCCACCTTCGACTGCCCAGCTGGATAGAGCTGAAGCTCCAAAAAATGGTCGCGCAAAATGTCCTGAATTGGCTGAAATGTCCCTTGGCACATCAAGGAAATCAGCATTTCACCGACGGAAATCTGGTCTGGCTTTGCGATGGGATGTGGCCAAAAAAAGGATACAAGACCAACCCAAATAATGTAGTACGTCTACCGTATTGTCATCAATTATTATTATTATTGATTATTACTATTATTATTATTTATTAGTATTTATTATTTATTATTATTATTATTATTTATTATTATTTATTATTATTATTATTTCAAAAAAAACATTGAAGGTTAGTTAATTAGCCACAAATAATATTCCATGTGCTGATTTGGACAATCAGACATTAAACAAAAATGCTCATATTTACGGGATTTTGTGGGGGGATTGAGTGATGATGTGTTCAGTGAACCAAGAGGGCTTACTTCGGCTTTTTTACGGCTTAAACCAGCAATTCATCTGCATCAGACGACGGGATTTCACGATGGGCCACGGCCGGGGATGATTTACAGATGGGCACAGCCGTGGGGGAACATGAACTCCCCATAGTGGGCCGGAAGTGTACCCGGCCTGGTACACATACAAAAAGCTATTGAAAATGGCCATGTATAGTTGATTTTCCCATTAAGAATTGTGATTTTCCATAGTTATATTAGTTTACCAGAGGGTAAATAGTCGAAACCATGGTTTCTACGGTGGGGTTAAGAATTTGATACGAAGGGAGTGTGCAGATTTGCAACATTTTCAATGGTGCAGTGATATGAAGCTCAAGAGTCAACTGGAAGTGACATCAAGTGGTTGATTATATCCTCGGAAAATATGAGTGATATTGATGGAATGAAATTGTAGAATGGTTATTCAAACTATACACATTTTTTTAACATGAATGTGATTATGGAAGAAAAAATGCGATTGGCTACGGCCAAAAAGTGATATGATAGCAACCTCCAAAAGATAGACTTCGGTAAAATTCAACTGCAATAGTAGTAATTTGTTCGTGCCTGAATCTGCTTGTGGTTGCTGTAGCGGGTTTGAATGGCATTTTAGCCGGACCATTTACTGGAGCTCATGTGGTGGACAAAGAAATAAGCTATAGCGATGAGACTAGCATTAACAGTGGAAAAGAAAGGTCACCATCAACAAAATATCAGATGTTACACCAACAACAGGATACGGATATCTATAATGGATGTGCATATACATACATACATACATACGTACGTACGTACGTACATACATACATGCATACATGCATACATGCATACATGCATACATGCATTCATGCATACGTGCATACATGCATACATACATACATATATATATATACATATATATATATACATACATACGTATGTATATACGTATATACATATTTACATATATACATATATACATATATACAGATATACATATATACATATTTACATATTTACATATATACATATTTACATATATACATATATACATATGTACACATGTACATATACATATATACGTATATACGTATATACATATATACATATATACATATTTACATATATACATATGTACATATATACATGTATTCATATTTACATGTTTACATTTATATACATATATACATATATACATATTTACATATATACATATATACATATATACATATATACATTTATACATATATATATACATATATACATATATACATATATACATATATACATATACATATATATATACATATATACACAGAAACATATATACATATTTACATATATACGTATTTACATATATACATATGCATATGTACATATATATATATGTACTTGTACGAATACCACAGCCCATACATTTTGAGGTTCTAACATATTTTTGGTGGTATGAGTTTAAAAAAAAAAACATATCCAGTATAAAAAGTGGAAGATTGACAACTGATTTTTATGGGATATTGATGGATATTGATAGATATGGCACTGTGTCAAAACCTTGTACCCCTGCTGAACATCAAAATAGCTGGTAAATGGATGTTCATCCCATGAAAATGGTATTAATAGGTATTGATCCATACCCATATAAAGAACGATTTTGGGGGGAGATCACCATCAATAAGCCAGGCTTGAGAAGGAGTTGGACACTGCCACTAGCAATGCGCGCGCCGACAACGCGCCTTGGAAGATCTTCGCCCCATTTGGAAAAGATTGATTTATTATGGTTTAATATGGAGATAATATAGGATGATAATGGGATAATACTGGGATAATCTGGTTTATATTCCCAGTATAAAACTAGGATAAAATGGATAATATGGATAAATATAGGATAATTATTCCATTTATATTCAATATTTTTTCTTAGGGATGATAATGGGATAATACTGGGATATTAATGGATTTACCTTCTGGTAATTTGCTGCAGGGCTATTGCAAATGACCCATAGAAATAGAGGATTTACCATCTTTAAAGAGGGTGAGTTTTCAGTTCGCAAATCGCAAACTCTTAGTTCACCAGAGGCTAAGAATTGAATCATGGGAAGATGCTGGTATAAGGCAACAATGAGGATATGCATGCGGAATTTTTCGTGGTGTGTTTGAAAGATGACGGATCCCAAATGACCATTTTACGACAATTTTACCATCTGGTTATTTAACTTAAATATTAACATAGCCATGGAAAATCCACACCATAAATCGAGGTTTCTAGCTGGGAAAAACATCTATTTCTATGGGCCATCTATACCATGGCGAACTGTTAGTCTTAACCAGAGAAAAAGTGATGATCAACCAGGAGATTTTGAGGAAATCAAATCCTTTTTTCGACCAAACAAATTTCTCAGGAGTTTGATGGGATTTCAACCAGGATTTGGTACTGAGTGATCTAACCACCAGTGAAGAATTCTGATTTGGGATCTGGGTGTTTTTGAGAGCTCGGGATCTGAGTCATGCAAAAATCATGATGAGATTTCACCACACTCCCAGCTGGGTAAATGAAAAAAGTCTCTAGTGGCCGACCAAGCCCAGTAAATCAAGGGTTCCTCATTGAAATTGGCGTAAGTCTGGTTAGTCTGGTTAGTACGTCCCCTATATATAGTTATATATAGTTTTATATATATATATATTTATATGTATCGTTATATGTATGTATATATATATATATAGAGTTAAATATAGAAATGACCAACATGTCCAATTTAGGAATGTAATGCAGCCAGATGAATGGATGCATCCTAGGCTCTTTTTTATTGGATTACAATGATCCACAACCGGACAATGGAAAAATTGCAATGAGGTCGTAAACACCTTGGATTTGCTATTAAGATGATCTTGTTTCTCCACTACGGTCCACTCTTTGGGGAATCCGACTAGTAGCTATGACGGGAAGTTCTGTTTTCGCAAATCGACACCAATGATGCCATGGTCAACTCATCTCACAGCACGTCATATCATCAATGGGAGATCTCCAGGATCCTAAAATGGAGGTACGTTAGTAGCATATGTTTGGCCATATTTTGTGGGGATATTTCCGCAAACATTGGCCTAAAAAATAGGCCAAAAATATATGGAATCGGTACCTCCAATTGTTCTCGGTTCCAGTTAAATTCCCATTGATTATATTTCATATACCAATGATTAACCATCATTAACCATTATTAACCATATATTTTTGGCCTATGTTTGCGTCCAGTGATTGTTCTCAGTTCCTGCATGGCGATATCAGGTCATTCTGAAGGCCCTTGAGAAAGTGAACACGAAGGTTGCGGGATCCATGGGATCCATGGGATGGAAATTTCCCGTCCGGAAATCCCCGTGGAATTCCAATGGTTTTCCTATGGTTTTCCTATGGTTTTCCTATGGTTTTCCTATGGTTTTCCTATGGTTTTCCTATGGTTTTCCTATGGTTTTCCTATGGTTTTCCTATGGTTTTCCTATGGTTTTCCTATGGTTTTCCTATGGTGTTCCTATGGTGTTCCTATGGTGTTCCTATGGTGTTCCTATGGTTTTCCTATGGTTTTCCTCTGGTTTTCCTATGGTGGTTTTCCTATGGTTTTCCTATGGTTTTCCTATGGTTTTCCTATGGTTTTCCTATGGTTTTCCTCTGGTTTTCCTCTGGTTTTCCTCTGGTTTTCCTCTGGTTTTCCTCTGGTTTTCCTCTGGTTTTCCTATGGTGTTCCTATGGTTTTCCTATGGTTTTCCTATGGTTGTCCTATGGTTGTCCTATGGTTGTCCTATGGTTGTCCTATGGTTGTCCTATGGTTTTCCTATGGTTGTCCAATGGTTGTCCAATGGTTTTCCTATGGTTTTCCTATGGTTTTCCTATGGTTTTCCTATGGTTTTCCTATGGTTTTCCTATGGTTTTCCTATGGTTTTCCTATGGTTTTCCTATGGTGTTCCTATGGTTTTCCTATGGTGTTCCTATGGTGTTCCTATGGTGTTCCTATGGTGTTCCTATGGTTTTCCTATGGTGTTCCTATGGTGTTCCTATGGTTTTCCTATGGTTTTCCTATGGTTTTCCTATGGTTTTCCTATGGTTTTCCTATGGTTTTCCTATGGTTTTCCTATGGTTTTCCTATGGTTTTCCTATGGTTTTCCTATGGTTTTCCTATGGTTTTCCTATGGGTTTCCTATGGGTTTCCTATGGGTTTCCTATGGTTTTCCCATGGGTTTTCCCATGGTTTTCCCATGGTTTTCCCATGGTTTTCCTATGGTTTTCCCATGGTTTTC